TATATTAATAACATTTAAGGAGAGTGGTGGTGGGTGGGGGGGGGGGGGAGGGGGGGGGGGGGGGGGGGGGGGGGGGGGGGGGGGGGGGGGGGGGAGCGATCATAGGCAAAAATTTACTGCTTTGGATTCATTTATGAACTCTTGTGTATATGAATTCTATCATATTATTTATAAATCTTTATTCTTATTATTATAAGAAAAATTTTATTTCGCGAGTTTTTTTTTCAGTTTGTTGACGCACTCCATACTCAACTGAATTCTCATGTAACCAGTGACACTCGTTAACTAAACTATTATTTCGTTTATGGAAACAAAATCAACATTTTCACTTACGATTAAAACTTGAAGATAGTAAAAAATTTACATCATCATCGTCATCACCTGCATTTATCAATTGTTTAAATGAAAAAGTAATGTTATTTGGAATAAATATAAATTCTTTATAAGATCTTTGTTTTTTAGATTTATTCACCAACAATAATAGACTAGATAAATATGTCAAATATTACTTTATTTAGCCAACAAACTGCGTACTATTATACATAATGTTTTTCAAAATTGTATGTTTATTTTAAAACAAGATACATTTTTTTTTGGATATACTCCTTAGCGATTTTCGATAATTTTTGAAAGCACAATAAAACGTTTGAATAAATTGAAATATTTTGTTAATCATTATCATCTTTTCTTTACTGCGAGCAGTCACATTCTTATTGTTCTTAAGAAATAAATTTGTTTTAAAAGCGTGTATTTTTTAGGGAATTTCCATTCCTACAAAACTCTAATATTTGAAATTATATACGATAATATCACTTGGGTTATATACATTTGTTAAGCTGTTAATAGAAGAATTAAAAACTTTCTTTAGTCTTAACAATAGCCTTAGTGAAGATCTCATGAAATATATATATATATCTAATTTTTGCGATATATGTCTGTGTAAATAGAGGATGTAATTTAGAACAACGGAATATGTTAACTTTCATTTGATATATTTTTGTTTGGTGAGATACATTTTTGATCTGTTACTGTGAGTACGGTCTTTATACACACTTAAATGCGTGAGTGAGACCTTACAAAGATGTCTATCTGAGAATTTTGACGACCACTTTATATGTTGACAATTCATTTCACATCAACGAAAATGAATACAGTAGAAGTAAAAAAGAATAGATATTAATTCATTTTATGGATTATATTATTAATAAGAAATAAAATAATGAATGTTAAGAAAGATTAATACAAAAGTAAATAAGTATATTGAAAGACAAATTTTGTTTAATCATCAGTGATGAAATCGATTAATGAATCGGCACTTTAGAAGCTTCGTTGAATGATCATTGCAATACTTATTTATTCCATTTGATTAATAATATATACTTTTAATACGTAATATTTGTTGTTTGAGCTTTATTGAGTATTGAAGGAAAAACTGGTTGTAGTTTTTCAAATGCTTGATGATACATTTTCAAATTATTTATAGAACTCAAAATTTATATATTGTGCCTTTAGTTTTGATTATCCAGTTAAGATAATCATGTTTTTTAAACGATCGTCTACAATAAAAAAAGAAGATCGACTTCATCAACTTGAATACAAATCGTGTATTCTCAGAATGATAATAAATCTGCTAGAAGGATTGTCTTAGCATAAGTTAGTAAAAAAAACTAAAGAGATAATATGATCACACGGCTAATCATAGACAACGCAATTATGTCACCTGCGAAAATTGTTTACATTAAAGTGAAACCTTATTATTTTGTTTTAAGCGCGTGATCAAAATAATGACGCAGTGTATTATTTATTTTCAGGGACTGTCAAAGATACTATGAAAATATTGCAACTGATCTGGCCAATGAATATCTAAACTCATTCATGCATATCATAACTCATGTAATTATTGATTGTGTTTACGTGGGATAATATAGAAAGTATTTTGTCTGTTTTTGCTCATATATATAAACAGTTGAATTGTACAGTGATTTTTATATTTGAAACTCAACACAATATCGAGCTTCATACGTGTAAAATACACTAATGGGCAACCGAACACCTCAGCCTGCTCCACTTCCTTACCCTCCTCCTTATCCATATTACTATCCTCCTCCAGCTTATGGTTATCGTGACTATACAACAGACTATTATCGACGACCACGACGCTATTCTGGACACTATAATCGATATCCACAATACCATTCTGGGTCCTATCGTTCTTATCCAAGCAGACGTTCTTATTATTGATAACGATTCATTTAAATGGAAAGACAATCTAATTCTATACTTGAACATTTTATTCTATATTTATTTTTTGCAACTTAACTTAATCAAACCAAGACATCATTATTTTTTCTTATTTTTTCTTAAATAAACATTATTAATATTAATTTCTGTTTTACATAAATAATCAGGAGTGTTTCTAGGTCATCAGAATTGGGAGAGAGGAGGCGATGATCCAGAAGATCGATTGGAAGACTTTTGCTAAAACTGATCGAATTTGAGAGAGGTCAAGCAGTTTTTTTAGAACTGCTGAGTAAAAAAAAACGAATACAACGCTGAAACTTCGCTCGGGGTAATCGAAAATTTCTAAAGATTAGAGGAACAATCTCTCTACTCGATACTCCCCATAGGCATGTAAGCTTCACAACTCAAGACGAAGAAAACTTTCGACAGTTTGTGTTTTATCTAGTTCGAATTGCTCGTAAAGTTCTTCTCAACTTGCCACAAAGAAACACTACTCAAGCTGACAAGAATCTTTGAAAACGTGTTTAGACGTTCTTATCACGATTTTAGTAAGATGCACCAAGGGCAAACGTAAGCAAAAGAAAGTTTTTTTGTTTTTCACATCATTTGATAGAGCTCATCGAACTGATTCCGAATACGTATATTTTATTGTTTTTTGATCAAGTTTTGGGTCTGAAATCTTGAAAATACTATACAAAATTGAAAAGGGAAAAAATCATTATTTTGGAAGAAAACATGAAATTTTGCCCCTTTTCACTAAATATAGGCTTTCAAAACTGCTTTATTCAGATTCACCATCTCAAACTGAGTATTAAAATGTAGCCTCAAACGAATTTCAACATAGCCAGAGTTTTCCATGAGATCAATTAGGATGAAAAAGTGACTCATAGACATTCATCTGTTGTAAACTTAGCTAGTCTTTTGTTTGAAAAAATTTTCAAAATATTTATACACCAATCGAATCGTCATTCGATAAGGAAAAAAGTACGTATGGATTTTAAGAAATTTTGTTCTCCGGCTAAGACATGGAGCATTTACTAAATCATTAACGATCAAGCTAAATTCGACCGCTGAATTGCCATTTTTTGCACCAAAACTCAATCAGAATACAAAATAAATACCATATTCAGAACCAGCATAAAAATCTGAGTTGAATGTGATAGAGAATAATGATTTCGCAGCACTTTTATTTTTTTTCATTTTCGAGCGGAACAACCTACCCAAGACTTTCATCAGAAAATGAAACTCGTCCGAATGATTCGAAACTCATCATATTGAACTCAGATTTTTATGCTGATTCTGAATATGGTATTTATTTTGTATTCTGATTGAGTTTTGGTGCAAAAAATGGCAATTCAGCGGTCGAATTTAGCTTGATCGTTAATGATTTAGTAAATNTTTTGTGTAGATTTTATTGATGTGTTCTTTGTAAAATTAGCATTGGTTCTTCTCTTGTAATATTAAAGGTATGGGATACTACAAAAACATCATTTGCTCAGTATTTTACGGGAATAAAGTGTTTGTTTTCTTTGCTAGATAGCTTTTCATACACTATTCAAATGCAATATTATAAAATACAGAGACTTATCTGTTTTTCACACCCAATAACAAATCTGCGGACGAAATTTCGTCATTCGAAAAACAGCTTGCAAAAAATGCCTAATTGTCCGTTTCTAATGCTTTTTTGTGTCGGGCAAAAGATCTTAGTCTCATCATTAGTTTACAAAAGGAATTCAGCTCTGATAATGAAGAGCATTTTGTAGAGCTTGAAATTCTGCATCTGTTGATATAAAAAGAGTAGTTCTTGTAAAACCAAGTTTTGAGAAAATTGATAACAAAAAGTACGATTCTTTTGGCCGAGGATATTTTCTTGATGTTTTGTGTTTTTTGAAGCCGAAATAATTAAGCTTAAAAAAAATCAAAACACTACTAGATATACGGAAAAATTCTGCATCACTTAGCAGCAAGAAGAAATTTTTGAACCATAGTTAACCATACAAAAATTTGAGTTCAAAAGTGTCTCATTTTGTAGTTGAGCAAATGATGTTTTTGTAGTATCCCATACCTTTAATATTACAAGAGAAGAACCAATGCTAATTTTACAAAGAACACATCAATAAAATCTACACAAAATTCTCTATCTTTTGACATCAGAACGAAATCTTCTCATACAGTCTAACTTAAAAAACAGCTTATCAAAAGCCGGCAATTTTTTCTGCGTCACCCGTTATAATGACAGAACAGAATTGCTCATGACGTTATTGTATAGATATAAATTTGGCAAGTATAATTTCCTGGTTTAGTGCATAGGTTTAGGCTAAATTTTAATCTATCAATTAATTATCGATCAAATAAATAGTGTCGTTAATCATAAAACATCAGTCATGATCGACTAATGAACAGTTGATATTTTCGGACACTAATATTACGGTTGATGAGCATAAATGAAATGTTTTGTTTTTCTTACAAATAGTAGTAGTTGAAAATAACTCGTCAGAATTTCAAATAAAATTGATTATAATTTGATTTGTTTATTGAATATAAGTTATGTTTTTTACAAATTCATTAACTTATTTCATCATGAAAGATGATGTGTTTGATAAAGTCAAGAAAATCTTCTAAATGAATAATGTTTTCGTGAACATTTTTTGTCTTCAGTTCAAAACTTCTTCCTTCACTAATTTAATTAACTTTGACTTTTAAGAAATTCCTTGATTATCTAACATCTATCTCTGTCAGAACATATCTTCTCTTTTCATCACTTTATAATTCAAATCATTTTAATTGACTAGATCAATAATAAAATGAATTTCTTAATACATATCATTGATAGGATCAATCACCAGTAATTTATTCAGAGAATATTCTCATGAAATGAAATAAAATCTTCGTTGGATAAAATTCTTTTCTATACTTTTTTTTCATTATTCAATATATAATAAACGAATAAATGAATGGCTAACAATTGTATAACAACTTGTTTCAGTATTGAATCATTGAAAAAGTTTTCATATTTTATGATAAATAGAAGGTGCAAATTGAATGAGAATGATTATCGGTATTACGGTTAAAGTTAACTTCTATTTTTAGTTCATTCAACTAATATCAATTGACTTTGTTTACATGTAAACATATGGTATACTCATAGTTAGTGACGCAACCAGAAAAAGCTCTTGATACAAGGAGCTAATCCCTCTATTAGCTTCCTTCTAATTATGTCACTGTCAATAGTAGTATGTAAGAAAAATTTTAATTTTTATATTTAGAATTCAAAAGTAATCATTGATTGTACTAACAGCATCTGAACTTCACTATCTAATGAGGTTCTCAATTATCTGAGGTTGTGCAGAATGCTTACTAAGCAAAATTCAGAATTTTGTAGATCTATCCATCAGAGATGTCTATCGCGGCTGGAAATCCACCGCTGTCGCGACGAAATTCAAAAAACAGCAGTTCACAAAACCGTTATCCTTTCTTAGTCTTAATCCTGTTTATTCCTGACAGGGATGGGCAAGCCAGAGGTTTTAAGGTTCAAGTCAACTCATTAATCACCAAAAACCTTTTCAAGTCAAGTTCAACCAAGTCACACTGCTTTCCAAGTCAAGTCAAAAGCTTAAAAAAAAGTTCTCAAGTCAATCCAAGTCAAACAATGACTCTATATTCTCATCTAACTACCGCTTATCTGAATTATATAAAAGAATTTCGTTTTTCTGTTTTTCCTATCCTAGATAATTTTACTGTAGACAAGAATTAGAAAAACAGATCACAAAAACATATGCCTTTTTATAATTTGACTTATTTATCTCTGATTCCTTGAGAAATCTTGAAAAATCTGCCAGAATCCTGGACCTCAAGAATGTTGTAGAGTTTTATTCAGGATCCTATCTCGCATTCTAGTATTTCCCAGTGAGACAAAAATTTTGAAAAACGCGTTTAAACGCACAATCGGGAACCGCGATTGTAAGCCATTAACGCTCATTAAAAAACCGCACGAAAATGCGTTTATTGGCGTTTTTTGTAACTTCATGGGCGTTAAAACGGCGACAGTTCCCGTTTTTGAGCGTTAAAACGCACTATTATTCTAGAACTTAAAAATAATACGTTTTAACGCTCCAAAATTGGAGTTTTCGCCGTTTTAACGCCCACAAAGTTACAAAAAACGCCAACAAACGCGTTTTCGTGCGTTCTTTTAATGAGCGTTAATGGCTTACAATCGCGGTTCCCGATTGTGCGTTTAAACGCGTTTTTCAAAATTTTTGTCTGACTGGGTTGTTGACTGCATGATTTCTCACGATTTAATAGGATATTCTATAAAATTTTTAAGTTCTAGCCCAAATTTTTAAGAAATAAAGAATTGAGGATTCTATCAAAATTTTATCAAACTATTGCCAAGACCTGTTCTGGATACTGATACGAGAAGCCAACCAAAATTTGAAGTTGGAGTCGAGCTAAAAATCCTTTTAGTCCTACAATATTGATTTATCATATTTTTTTTTATCCTATTTTAATTTTGAAAATCATCTTGCTTCGCTCGTGATTTTTCCACAAGTGTCACAATCATTCTTTCGATTCTGGAAGAAAGTATAAGTGAAATAGAATCATCTGTCAAAATAAAGAACGGAATGTATAATTAGTTTAGACTCTGGGATTCCTAGAAATTATACGTTGAATCCGCCGCCTGAACCATAAATAGTGGCTAAATCAGAGGAGAATTTTGAAAAAGAAAATAACAGAAGGATGTAAGTGTGATTTAAGATAGAATGAATCCACACTCATTCTGTCAAAGTTCCTAACATTCTCTGATTAAATATTTCGCTCACAATTGATGACTTCCTGAGCTACTTACTGGTACTAAATCTAGTGGTAAATTGGTTAAAATCTTCATTAGGAAGTGTCGATTTATATCTACTTTTAATTTAATTTATGCGTAAATTAAATTATCGGTAATTTAAATATAAAATAAATTTAAACGATAAAAAAAAATCATTAAAACTTGTTTTAGGTTTAAATTATTTGCATTTAATTTATGATTTATTAAATTATAAATTAAATAGAATTATTCTATTTGTTTTTCATATTTCATCTCAGTCAGACGAACATGGGCAGAAAAAAAACACCGAAAAGCGCGTTGAAATCTAAAACAAAAATAATATCGTAATAAGTGCAAATGTAAACGAGTTTGTCACGCGCGAGTTTCAGAACAAATATGTGCCCATTCAAAAATTTAACACATATGAACGCATTTACATGTGCACTTTTTACGATTTTATTTTTGCTTTAAATTTCTATTCTTCTTAACTCGTTTTTTTGCCTTGCTCATCTAACTGGAATAAAATATCAAGAAGAAATAGAATTACTTAATTTAATTCATAATTTAATAAATCATAAATTATAAATGCAAATAATTTTAATTTTGTTTTCAATTTTAATAATGAGAAAATATAATTTACATTTATTTGACATTAACAGGAAATGGCAATCGTAATCTTGATGAATTTCTGTTTAAAACCTGATCAGGATCTTACACTTCCGTGACTATAATCTTTCTAAGAATTTAGTCTTTTCCTCAAAAAAAGAATGGATCCTTGAAGTGTCCTTATTGGATCTGTTAAGGATATGAGATGTAAGCATCAAAAATTTTTGCGAGGGTTGTATGGTCACAAAATGAGGGTTGTTCAGAAAAAACATTCTGGTTAGTGTAAATATCAAAGTAAAACATTCGTGAAGTACTTTAGATTTTTAATAGACAAAAATATTAAACTTTAAAAAATTTTGTCGTAACGGCTGAAAAAATAGTCGGCTGCTACCACATCTCTCCGCCAAGTAACAGCGTCGACGCCGCCATGGACATCTCTGCCACCAAATATAATGAACACTACAACATCCTTTTTTGATCCACGCCTATTGTTAGACAAAAACGATTCTACTGAAACAAAAATCTACCAAGAATTTAAGCAATACAGCAGAGTTTTGACAGAATTCCATGGTTATTTGTAGAAAGTGAGGATTAATCAAGGAACTCTTTCTCAAATTAAAATAAAATTCTACTTAGAACCACATAAAGCAACAGAAATTTGGCAGAATTCCCCATGTTCTGGTAGAAGACAATATTTGGTGCCGACATATTTGTTGAATATTTCATCGCTTTAAACATAAACTTCTGCTAAGAATGCAAGGAATCCTGCTGAACTACAATAAAATTACACATTCATTAGTAAAAGATCAAGTCTTTCAAATATATGTTTTTCCTAATCAAAACAGAATTTTGATTAAATTCTGTAGTTGTCAACAGAAGACAATACATTATACATGCCTTCAAATGCAAAAACTCAAAACGATGTACTTTATGACAAGTAATTTCGTTTCTCAAAACTACCTAAGAAGACAAACATTTGGAAAAACGTGTTTAAACGCTCAAAATGGAGCTACGACTGTGATCCATTCACGCTGATTAGAAAAGTGCAAGAAATGCTTTGATTCGTGCAAAATTTTCACTTTCTGAATGTGAAAACCGTGAAAAACTTCAATTTTTAGTGTTAAAACGCGCTTTTATTCTAGAATCTAAAAACAATTCACTTTAACGCTCATTTTATTCATTTTTCGTCGTTTTCACTCTCTGAAAGCCAAAATTTTGCACAGATAGATGCATTTATTGCGTTTTTCTAATCTAGGTGAATGGATCACAATCATGGCTTCGGTTTTGGCGCTTAAACGTGTTTTCCCAAATGCTTGTCTGCTTCGGTTAAATCCATTTAGGTATACAAAGTAACACTTACAATTTTAAAAGATGAACCATCGTATTATTATTAGCATTTTGAAATTAATCTTAATTTTAACAAAATTCTATATTGACCGTAGCATATCCAATATTCATCTTTGATATAACATGTTACAATTAAAATTTTCTTAAAATTTTACTAATGTTTTCAAAGTCTTTACAGATTCCGGAACACGAAAAGAATCAGATCTTTTCCTGTGCCGCTGAACTATCAAGATCGATGATGTTATATAAATAAACCGAATTCTTAAAATGTTAGAGATTTCTTTGTAACGATTCACTATTTACCTCATTAACAATTGACAATGCAAAAAATAAATACGTATAGAATATTCTGAATTTTGCTTGGTAAGTGTTCTACAACTACTGACGAATAATGTCTGATCATGTGAACTTGAAAACAATTTACTATCTGTTGAGTACGCAACTTGCTGAGTGATAATCAACAAGGTGGTCGAGTTCTAGTCGGTAAAGATAATTTAGTGAGATTTCAGCAAGCAACAAAGCGATTATGTGATGTAGTGGCTAGATGATGAACCATGGTTTTATCATAAAGAAATTGGTCGAAAATCGTCGAATGTTGCCTGAGCAGCAATCAATGAAATTCTGTCTACTGTAGTTTGATCGAATCACTTTGCTTGAGTAGCTATGTTCTATATCTGTTTGAAAACGACTCGTTCCCTGCTTATTCATCATGTTGAACAAGGAGACAATATCAATCACTACTGTTGCATCGATAACTGTTTGAAATTGCTCTTAGACGAAATCCAGACGAAAAGACCAACATCTAACACACATACCATAAAACGTCACCAATACAATGCCAAACCGTTTTTTCATAAAGATATTTCGAATTGTGTCGAAATTTGAAGGTATCAAAATTCTTCGATAACTAACAAAATTTTCCAACTTACTACCATGTGACTTTTAGTTATTCAATCTGATGTAACAGAATCCAATTGGTGAAAGCTACTCAAAATCTTTGCACTGAATAGTAAACCAAGATCGTAAACTCAATCAATAATGATGACTACATAAAAAAAAACTTTCGATAAATGTCTTGAACAAATCCTATTGAATTATATTAACGAAAGAACACTCCCAGGTGAAGCTTCGCTTTTGACGTGATATTTTGCCCATATGTAGATCTTAGTGAGACTAGAAAAACCTCAAAAAGGTTTGGATTTCTATGGCTTCCTTATTGAGATATGAACTTCACATCTTCTCTAATAGTGCTGTGATTTAAATTGAAATACGATGCAATGTCGATTTTTTCACAACGATACGAAATTCAGACTTAAAGTTTTTTTTTGTGTGAACCACATTTCATAGTGGTCATATTTGGTACACTTTTTTAGCTCTGACAAAGACTTCTGACCACACATATCAGGCTTCCTTGCCTCACACTAGCTTGAATGAAAGAGAGCTTCCAAAATGAAGCCTAGCTTTTTTTAGATCAGTGGTGTATGAACATAGGCTTAATTTAATTAGCGACAGTATTGACTTTATTCTCTCATATTGCGCGCAAAGAGCTACTAACTAAAAGTAGAAAGAGCAAGAAAATAGAATTCTATTCTTGTTCTATACCGTTATTTTGTTCTCCGTCCATGTGTGTACGTGCACATTGTTACAGGTATGTCGCTTTGGCCGTTTGTGCTTGGTTTCTCTCTGTACATTTTCTCTTCTTTTCTGTTCTTCTTTTATTCTTTGATATTCATTCAAGCTAGCGAAAGCATAAAAGAGGAATCGAATAAAGTAATCTCTCATACACGTATACAGCTATTTTGTGCTATTTTTTCATATTGAGAGAAGTACGTGCATTCTTACATTGTCTAGTTATTCACTACGATCTCTTTGATCAAGTATGTGTACTATCGATCCGAGAAACGTCGCCTCAATTTTGTTCGACCGAATTTGTTCATCATCAGCCTCAGCAAAATCTTCATCTGCTCTCACGCCGAAAGAATATGAAATGAATGACTATTTGATCGATGTATTGAATTCAATCGTTAAAAGCAATGCTTTTTCTTTCGAGACGGAAGTATCTTTCGATGTCGAGTTGAGGGATACAGAGGATTATGAAGAATCTGAAGAAAACCAACTAGATGAGTCAGCTACCGACTCGGACTACGATATGAAAGATGATAAAAAATAGTCAGAGCTAACAAAATTTTCTAAAGAATAAATGCAAAAGATTCTTGACTACTTTGATGAACGAAATCAACAAATGGGATATGGTAAGTGGATTTTTCATGGTGTTCAACGCCGCTACCAGCGCATCAAGAATAGCGGCTATGTCACAAAGTTTCGAAAATATTTAGAAGAGAATGGTGGTACCAAAAAACGAAAACTTGATCAAGTGAACGACTATTCTTATGACCGTTTTGTACATGCACGCGGACAATGTCTACCGGTTCATGACAATGATGTTCGATGTTGGGCGATAAAAAATGCAGCTGATATTTCACTTCAAAGTTTCGTTGCTGGTTATCATTGGCTGTTGAATTCTAAGCATCGACACTGTTTAATGCTCACGTAAATTACGAAGATCAAAAATTCTCATGTTTTGTCGAGGATTAGAGAATCGATTCAAAACCGTATACAGTTGTCAAATGGTTGAAAAGCTTTTTAGTATAACTCGACAGGTCAATCATATGCGAAAAGATCTTTCATGAAGATTTTCAAGCTGAGAAAATCAAAAAGTTGACAAATCTATCTAAACAATTCACCTCTGAATAGTGTTCTTCTAGACTTCCGTACCATAAGAAAACATTTTTGTGTTCATGCAACGAGATATATTTGTATGATTATACAGAATTTTAATAGATTATCACAAGACATGAAACGATGGACGAAGATACCGTCATCCATTCGGCTGATAAACTCGTTAAACAAGTTCGCAAGCTCCTTCCAAATTACTCTTCATCCAAAGTTCTTAATATCGATCAAGTCCGAATTGAAATGGAAATTCATTCCTCAAGAACACTATTATATAAGGGCGAAAAAATAACCCCCGTATCGATTCGTTCAAAAAATGCTTGCATTCATTCGTATACAATTCAACCAATGATCAGTCTTGAAGGCACGAATAAGTTCTTTTCTTTTAGCTGCTACACTATTGATACTAATTTTTTTCATATTCTTTCAGTGCGTGTTATCGAATCTTCTCATCTCTGCTTAAAAGTGCGTACTGGCAAAATGAGCAAGAATATCGAACAAAATTTGTTCCAAGCAAAAAAAATGTGATAGTAACATGTGGCAGCTTTGGAAAACTGATATGTTCTCTTGTAGAGTATCGGCGTAATCGCTGTCTAATTTCTTGTATCACAGCCAATACTCTTTTGTTGTTGGATTCATGGTCTACCTAGAATGATCCTCGTTTATACAAATCTGCCAAAGGTCTTATACATCTCATTATTCCATCAAAGAAAACTCATAAAATTCAGCCGTTGGATGTCTTTTATAATCGACAACATAAGATGATCTTACGCCAAGTGTTCGATCGCATCATGCTTGACGAAATGGACATCAACTTATCGGACAGAAACAATATTATTTAGCTGCAGTCTTTGGTGCACCATTAAATGTCCTCAAAACTTATTGTTCCTATGATTCGTCATGCTTGGTACGCGAGCGACTATTTAATGGCTGATCCTGGTTACTTTTCTACCGTCAAAGATATTTGCTTCAGTCTGGAAAAGTCGGTCTGCAAGGAGGAAAATTGCGACAACTCTTCTTTTATTAAGTGTAGTTAGTGTCGCAACGAGTTGTTTCGAACATTTTTTCCTTGCCTATCACATGGACTAATTCATCATATTGTCAAATTTCAGTTGTTCCGGTTGCATTGCCTAGGTTCACTTTATGTTAATGTTCACTTTTGTTTATGATAGATAAGGATTTCACCATATACTTAATAAAATTGTTCTGCACATGCAGGAACTTATGGAAAAAATAGATTTTGACCTTTGAAATCTTTGCTAGAGCTAAAAAAATGTGTGACACATGTGGCCAATATAAAATATGGTCCAGGCAAAAAAGAACTGTAAGTCTGTATTTCATATTGTTGTGAAAAAATCGACATTGCACCGTATTCCAATATAAATCATAGCACATGTTAGAGAAGATGTGAACTTCATATCACAACAAGGAAGCCATAGAAATCTAAATCCTTTTGAGATTTTTCTAGTCTCACTAAGACCTACATGTGGGAAAAATATCACGTCAAACGCGAAGTTTCAACTGGGAGTGTTCCCTCTTTAGTACTGCTTTTATCGCCAATAAAAATTTCATGTCAAATAGTTCGAGTTTGCCTGATTTAATTATGAATCATCTTTAGGTAATTCCCACATGAGAGTTGATGGGAATCGTCAAAGAGGAAGCGATGTTTCCGGCTAATTTTAATCGTTTGCCTTAAGGTTTTCTTCAATGAGTGCTCTGCTATAATCAAGTTTTTCTTGAGAATTTTTACGCTCACAGTTATCGATATAGAAGAGATCCGTGTTATGGCCGTCTTATACAGCAGATGCTTTCTCACCCCTCAAGGTTGCAACAGAATAAAGTATCCTATCTGTGATATCACATAGACACGCAAATCTTTATTTGTTAATACGAATATGGATGTTAATGAATTCAAATAGTAGAAAATCAGTGTTTCCATTCTAAATTGTTGACATTCAGATCTATCAATTTCAAATCGCTGCTTGCGACTACTGTATAATTAATCCAAAACAAATCATACTAAAATATTCTATCAAATAGTTTATCTGTATCATAGATGTTTATCACGTCTGAAAATCCGTCGCTGTCGCGATGGTTTTGAGAAATTCTTTGAAAATCTCTTCTGTCACTGTGCTAAATTGGCAAAAACAGATTGAATTTCATGAGATTAATCACAATTGTGACTGTTAAACTTGTAGACGTCCAAGTCGGACGTAAATTCATACAATTTACCTAAAAAAGAAGCAGCAGCAGCCGATGGTGTCACGACAATGCCGCCACAGACATACCTAATCTGTATAAAGTGAATATTGGCTTTTTCTTAAATGTCATCCCTGATAGATTCATACATTTATCAAAATCAAAGAAACAAAAGAAAAAAGAAAATGCAAACACATATTTGGGAGCAAAAACAAATAGGAAGAAAATAAACCGACAAACGAGTGAAAAAATGAAATTCACAGTAATGCTTTTGTTTGTGCTTTTCGTTTTGCAAAGATGATCTTTGATCATATAAAATAAAAGTTATTAATTATTTACATTCTGTACGTATACGTGCACGTTTATAATAACGTTGTGCTAATGAATTAATAATTGATATAATAAAATATGCAATCATAGCAGCAACAAATAAATTAAATATTTTTGTTAATGTTGATATTCTTGTTATATGACCAGTTAAATGTTCACCTGGTTTTCTATGCATTTTAGTTTTTTGTTCTTGTAACCAATCTTTAAATGGTGTTTGTAATAAATGACCATAATATGGTATATGTTTCATCCAACGTATAATACGTTCAACATGATGTTCACTAAATAAAAATATAATAAATATTGTTTGTATACTCATTTTAATTAAAGCTTTGCCAATAATAGTTGCAAAAAAAAATCTCCAAAATGATATAAGAAAATAACCACATGTTATACCAGCTAAATCAAATAACGGATTTGGAATACTTGCACATAATAATATTCCTAAAAATCCAATTCGTTCTATTAGACAATATACAGAATAACGTATACGTTGAAATAATGTTAAATTTCGAGAATCATGTAATTCAGCATTTATTATTAATTGTTCAAAATCAATTAACTCTTCATCTTCATCTGTATCATTTGTACCTAAACGCGCTGCACGTGCCATAAAATACGGTGGTAATTCACCAAAAGCTGTACCTAAACCCCAAAAAAACGCTTCTAATTTAACTTTCCATAAAATATTCCAGAATGATAATGGTCTTGGTTCTAATAAATTTGTTAAAATTGTTTCATCTGTTGTTGATGATAATGGACAAACAATTTCATTTGGATATGGAGGACGAGGAAATTTTATTGATCCGCATTCATATGCTGCTAATGTTACTTGAGCAATAAATGGACCAAGATAGAGTAAAAATGTATGTAAACCTGTACCTAATCCAATAGATGAAGCTACACCAAGTCCAAACCAATATAATGTCCAAAAAAATAAACCTTCGATTTCTTGAATACTTTTTTGATGTGAACCTTCAGATTTATAAATGAATAAGAAAAATAATAATAAAATACTTGAGAGAAATAATGTCTTTCGATAGGATAAATAATGTTTAAAATTATGATGAATTAAATAAATAATCTCAAGTAAACAATAATGAATTGTATTTATTGGTTGTCGCCATACAACAATTTTATCTATTTCATTATGTATTATCTCTTGATGACTTTTTTTACGAATTAATATTTGTTCTTTTTCTTCAAGTTCTTCATCAAGTACTGATATTGATCGTATAAATTTACTAAACATAATTTATTAAATAAATTAAAAAATAAAATATATTTAAAACAAAAATAAAAAAAATTAATTTACGCATTTTTTATTTCATTTGGTTTTTGTTGTTGCGTTGTTTCTCGTCGACGAGTAGACGACGAAGATAAATCATTTGTTAAATGAGACTCGATACCAGCTGCGAAATTCATTTATCCACAAATGATATAAAACATTATTTTATATGAAGAATAATCGAAATATGTTATTTGCTTATTTGAACAGCAAAAAACAAAGATATCTAAGATTAACAAATAATAACAAGGTCAAGAAAAATGACACAAGATACTCATGTGATACACAATATGACAATATGTTTATTCCTCTAACTTAGTACAAATCAACGAATGAAAAAAGAAAAAAAGAACGAGTTGTCTACATCTTATCTTTAATAGATTATATCCAGATGAAGAAAAAAAATATATCCAGATGTTTTTCTTCGATACCAAACAAAACAAAAACAATTCTATAGATTACATTCATTATATTACATTAACATTAGTATAGGTTATATTAGTCATTATTTCATCATATATTGCCACGTAAAATTCTTATTTCATAAGACAAAAACCAATGAGAAATCAAATAAAATACTCTACAGAAAGAAAAAAGTAAAAAATAAAAAAATAATAATTTTTATCTTTTATTTTCTATTGACATCTATCGATAAAAACAAAATCAATAAATTATCAAACTAATCATACACTAAATATAATTAATATCTCATTTAAATTTTGGTTTTTATTTCTAAAAATAAACTTAAAATTATGTTAAATAAGAATTTTTCACATAAATATTATCATTATTGATACATTAAACACAAAGAAAATATATTTTAATGAATTTTACAATAAATATATATAAAAGATTTTTTTTGTTTTCTTTTTAATCAAAATTTATTGTTTGTCATATTGAAGATTCGGCTAGTTATTCAGTTTAAAATTAAATTTAGTCTATTAGGAGAATATTAATTACATATATTATGTTACTTTAAGAAATTTTATATATTATTCAACATATCTTATTTATAATAAACATTAACAACTTGTTTTAAATCTAGAAGATAAAGAAAATTAATTAAATTATTTATCTTTAGAATTTAATATATCATTGAAAATTGATCTAAATTAATTTAATAGAATTGACAATTATTATTTTTTCTCCAAAATTTATCTATAGAAAAGCGACTCGAACTTGTTTTTTTTTTTCAGAAATTTTCATTTTAACGTCAGTTCACAATTTTAAATATTAGATCGACCTTATTTGACTGTATCCATATACACAATTACCATAAATAAAAATCTTAATCTTAACTACGTCTATTATTTGAATATTTCAATACCATTCTTTTTTTAAAATCATCTATTTAGGACATATATTTATATAATATATGTTGATCATATTTTAATAACCTAACTTATCTATTGTATTTTATCATATAAACATCCGAGAAAACAAGTATATAGAATGGTGACTACTGAAAACGATATACAGTGGCTCCCAAAATTGTTCAACAAGCTTTATTTTCAATTTTTTTCCGCTATCTTAATCGCTAGCAAGTCTCCAAATACTTATTCCAGTAGAGAAACTCGTTTCCAATAAGAATGTAAGAAAATAGAAACTATAATCAGATTCCCAACGGCTGGGTCTCCAGAAAACCAAAACTCTAGTTTTTCAGCACCCAGAAAGCGTGAATTATTTTTTGTTTTAACAGGCTAGAATGATAGAACAGCCAATTCTCTACAAAATGAGATGTCTTCGAGCTCTCTATGATCTTCTCTTCAAAAGTTATAAGCATTACAAAAACTGGAAAAAAGTGAAATTTATGAGAAAATCGCTAAAAATCGACTAAAAACGTGGTTTTTTCAGTTTTTGTAATGCTTATAACTTTTGAAGAGAAGATCATAGAGAGCCCGGAGACATCTCATTTTGTAGAGAATTGGCTGTTCTATCATTCTAGCCTGTTAAAACAAAAAATAATTCACACTTTCTGGGTGCTGAAAAACTAGGGTTTTGGTTTTCTGGAGACCCAGCCGTTGGGAATCTGATTATAATTTCTATTTTCTTACATTCTTATTGGAAACGAGTTCCTCTACTGGAATAAGTATTTGGAGACTTCCTAGCGGTTAAGATAGCGGGAAAAAATTGAAAATACAGCTTGTTGAACAATTTTGGGAGCCACTGTATATATATATATATAAATGCTGAATAAATGATTAACACTCGCTGATAGTACTAGGATTTCTTTATATGCATAGATCAAAACAAAAAATATAGAAATCTTCTTTTATCTCATGCAAGCTTTTTACTGGTTGCGGTCTTATTGCTAGATATTGAAAAATTTTGATTGTTGAAATAAAAATCAGAATCTGTTGAAGACTTATTTTTCGTAAATCAAAATAATCGATTTTATTATCCCTAATCATAATAGAATAATAACCACAAAAATGTGAAATTTGATTCTTGATGGAAAGAGTGTACTAGAACCACATGGTATCGATTCCAGTGAGGCCGTCTTGCAGATGTCTATTCAAGAGACCTCGCAGGACTTCATGGGATTTCAAAAAGCAGCTTTATAAGACTTCAAAAGTCTTCAAGATTGAAGACTCTGCTGTTTTCTTCTCTTATTTTAATTAAAAATCAACTAGAAATCAAATATGTTACTTGAAGTAAATTATTGAATAAATCATGATTAAGTAAATGATCTTCATTATTTAATAAATTTTTAAGTCCATATCGAACACTTTCAACAAGATTATTCATTTCAATATTTTCATTAAGAAAATTTGGATTATTAAGAACAAGTTGAAGAATTTCACTTTGTAAAGTACTTGCAAACTAAAATAAAAAAATTCTAGAATAAAAAAAAAAAAAATTATCGTTTTTACATACAGTTTGTAAATGAAATGGTTGATTAACAAATATCCAACATAATGCTGGAATAGCATTTTGATAACACGATGGATTACCAATCATTGATATAAGCTAAAATCAACAAAAACGTTTTTTTTTTTTGTTGTTTCAGATAAAATTTGAAATGATTATTTACTTCTGAAATAATTGATGATGATGCTGAATGTGCAACAAGCATTTCACGTTCACGTTTAAATAATAATTTCCAAATTGAAACAAGCCATTGTGATGGTCTTGTTGTTGAACATGGCCAACAAAAAACTCGAGCTAAACGATTTAAACATAATACTAAACGATCATCATCAATAGTCTAAAGAAAAGTTTAAAAAAAAAAAAATTTCTTCTTGTTTTTGAAAACAAAAGATGTCAATTTACTAATATAAATGAATCAAGTAAATTTTCATTTGGACATTCTTGTAATAAATCAATAATATTAGCTAATGCTGCCGATGGTTCATTTGTTGTTATTGAATCAGCTAAGCATGTTAATAAACCACTTGTTACACCATTAATAATATCATTTAATAAATCATTTGATTGTTGATTATTATTATTATCATAGCATAATTCTTTTATAGTTGATGATAATTGTTTACAAAATAATTCAACTTGTTCAATTGAATAATCTAATGTACGTAAACGAAATAAAACTAATTCAACTAATTTTATATAAAATATTGTTCGTTGTCCATTTGTTAATTGACGATTTTTAGTTATTAAATATAATATAAAACGTAATGCTTCATTACTTAATTCATGTCTTTCAAAAATAGCACGTTCTAAAAATGGTCGACCAATTTCAATTGGTAAACAATCACTTAATAATTGAACAAATGATATGGATAAATCAATATGTGAATCATTTATTAAATGTTCAGCTATTAAACAAACACATTCTGGATTATGACAACATTGTAAACCAATACGACTAAATGTTAATGTATCACAATCCATTTTTGTTAATGTTAATTCACGAACATAATTAATAATATAATAACAAGTACGATCAATTATTGGAACTGTTGTTGAACAAGGAGTTTGAATATATGTTGATCGAATATGTTCAAGTAATTGTTGTTTTGCTGTTAATGGATGATTACTCTTTAGAATTCCGCAAATTATTTTATCCATTGTTAAAAATATTATTAAGAAAAACAAGGAAATTATTACGAAGGAAACGTTATTAGAGATTATACAACAGCTGATTGATTTACGAAAAGGATTTGCTAACTACGATATCCATTTAATATAGAACAGGTAGAGGGCGCTGTGAGAAAGTGTCTAGAATGAGAAATTTGAACAAAATAAAAACTTTTGTACTTTTTTACTACAAGGATTATTAATAAATATGGTATATGATATACAAAACATAAATGGACAAGAAATTATATGACTCGATGTATTTTTTTTTAACTTGTCATATGTTATTTTTCCCAATGACTGCTCTGTTTAATTGATCAATACGTGAAATTTAAAAAATATGTTTTTCTCTAATCGGTGACTAATAAATATCTAAGCATGCCTTATTTTCGTAGAACGAGCTACATAAAAATATATTACGATGTATGAAACTTTTCACTAGTGACATAACCTGACAGGAGCTTGAGCCTTGTCTAAAGGCGTTATTAGAGAATCTTTGACTCCCGCTATCGATATGCCTAGAGAATTGAACTTTTTCTATACAACTTTTTTTGCTGATTAAGCTACTACTCTTCACTCTGTCAATGACTGTCATTCGTTTTCCTTTGCTTGATATATGTGTCGCGGCCTACGTTATTTTTGTTATATACTAATATTACGGTGGTAATTGAACTGAAACAGAAGACTATCTTTATAAGAAGATAAGGATCCTATGTATGCTGAACTATATATATTATATTTACTGGACTTAAAAAAACAGCATGTCTCTTGAGAATAGACAAAAACGAAAATTTTGAAATTTTGAAAAACAGTCTGTTTTTGAGAGAAATGCAAAGTTGAAAGAGGCGATCATATACAACGAAAACGGTTACCATATAAGACAATCATTTACGGTGAATGTCTACGATGCCAAACGTTCAAATACGATTCACGTATTTGATGAAAATAAATGACTGTTGTGCAAGACTATTCAGTAGGTCTATACATGGTTGTGCGAGTTAGTCATGATTTCAGATCTAAATGTCGAACATACTTTTTACCTTGGAAACTTAACACCAAATCCAAAGATAAGTATTTATTTTAAGAACAGACCCAATGGAAAATATCTCAGTACAAAAAAGCACATCTTCTTATTTTAGATTTATCTCCAGATCAAATTTAACGCTAAGCCCTTATATTAAAAAAAGACATTATTAGATTGTTTTTTTTTGCTAAAGATTTATGTTTCAGTTATATATTCAAAAGTATTTATTTGAGAGAATAAATTACTGTTGCTGTTTGAACAGAATGATGAAAGAAGAGTAATGAATAGACAGTCATGCTTTTTCTGAATAAGATCAGATTTTGCATGTCAGTGATGCTAAATGGCGTGACATTCAACGAAATACAGCTCACATATGATCGTATTTTCTGATATACACGATCGGTTATAGTATTGTATAAGACTATTCAAGACATTCGGCATCTTCATTATGAAAATATTTTTAATGAATTTGATCAGCTAGCTGAAGGAGAAATGTTAAATCATGCTATATTATAACTAGAATGAATGTAAAAAAAAGTTCTAATTCGTGCAAGCATTATTCTTTTCTCATCTGTTTTCATATAGGTCAAAGTTACCTGTTGAAATAGTAATATTGGGCAGCTAGATCTTCGCTATGCTAAAATTTCAGCTTTCTTATACATACACAAATAACATAAAAAAATCACAAAAATTTCTAAATTACTTTTTAGAATTATTAGAGATGAAAAAAGTTTAATAATTATTCAATCATTCATTCACGATGAGTCACTTTTTATGTTTCTACATATGATTCGTGCGTAGTTGTCATGTGTCAACGTTGTTATTATTACAGAAAAAAAAATGTTTGACCTTTCTCTCTGATAATCATAATGTGCAACAACAACGCAACGCACGAAATGAATCCTATAGTCACTGAATAATCTGGTTGATAACTGATGTATATGTTATTTATCTTGGTTACACCATTAGCATTCACTACAGGCAATTATATTTGTTGCCATAATAAAAGCAAAGCTTGTTAGCACCGCCCCTGTGGCACTGAAATGTGGAACTCACATATGTTCTTTAGCCCCATTGAATTAATAAAAAGTATGTAAAGTGAAAAATTTCTCGTATTTTTACACACATCCTATTTTCTGTTTGTATTCCTGCTATTCCCTCATTATTGTTCTTTTTTGTTTTCAATTTAACTCTGTTATTATGGTAAATATTGAATTAAATAGCGAATAAGACTGTTGTAAATATTCCATTGTATCTATAGCAGCAGATCTTAACACACTTTTGTATACCCCAATCAACTTGCAAACACTGATAATGAATATTTTCCAAAATTCTAGCTTGATCAATTTACTCTTTTTATCTTGATCATATCCCAACTGTTGCAAATCAGTCCATCACTATCTTTCATTGTTGGCATATTGAATATGATTTTTTTTCTGAGCAATAATCAAACACAGTACTATGAAAAAAAATTCGAAAACGTGTTCCAGTCAGTCAAATGTCGCCGAAGACTTTAGAATATTCTAGAATAGTCTAATTCATATAGTTAATGCTCTTCAGCATCTTTTTCCGTTCCTGAGCAATTCTTGGAAAGGATATCTCGAAGTTTGTGGTTATTGTACCATATACTATGTGTCTCTACTCCCAAAAAAAATAAATGTTTGCTCTCCTGAAGTTTTCAATTGACCTACTGGAAGAAAAAATTCGGATAAAACGCTCATAACATAATATTTCTTCCTGGAGATTTGAAAAAATTGCAGCGCAAAAAGGGTAATGAACGTTTTTTGAATTGATTTCTATTAACCGATTAATAATGATCCAGCAGACTGGCCATTTTTCGTTAGTCTAAAAGAGTTTTTTTAAGTCGGCTGGACTGATTACAACTCTCCGATGATGACAAATGAATTTTGACCTCTAATGATTTTCTGTCAATAGGATCATGTTGATTTGTTGAAGCAAGTCTTACTTAATTTACTTTTTTTATTTCGAGCCATGGCTAATGATATCGATTTTCAGGTTAAAGTAGATCAATAAAACAAAAGTCGCTTTCAACACGTTATTATTAAGTCGTTTTTTATATTAAGTCCTTGATACTATATTATCTTTCTTTCTCAAATTTCAAATTATAATTTTCTTTATTATCCATATTTAATTGTTTAATTGAATAAAAATTTTAATTTAAAGTAAAGAGATCGTACCAAAATATTTATGCAACAAAAAAGAAAAAAACAAAGATTTAATATCTCAATATCACCATTATGTACTGTAATTCAAACATTCTTTATTGCAATACTTGAAGGAATATAAGAGTAAAGGATACATGTCTCGTAAGCCTTGAAATAAAAAAATAAAAAATTTATAATACAGAAAATAAAATAAAGCATACGATATGAGTATCTAGTCGAAGGTATTTAATTACTACATCAATAAAAAAAAATAACTAAATAAATCATTGAAACGACAGCTAAAATTAAAAAAAGCTATAATTAGAAATTTATCAGCAATAGCATTATCTGTTACATGAATTCGGTAGTTTGCTATAACAATCTTTAATAAACATACGATAAAATCTAATAAAGATAAGTATTTTTTTGAAATAAAATAGAACAATACTATAAAGCTTGAAGAATATTTTTTTGGAAATTGAATTATGAGTAGAATAAAAGCTATTATTCTCATTACTCGTATAATAGTATGTTGTCTATCATCTCAACTAGATACGAAATGTTCTACTCATATTAATACTATTGAACTCTGCTCAATGATTGTTTGATAATCGATCTTGGACAAAAAGTCTGAAATAAATAAAGTTTTCTGTCATGTAGGAAAGAAACCAGTTGCTAAATAACCATTTTGTAGCTAACGAGTAAAGCAAAAGGAACATATTAACAGTGCTTCTTTGATTTTTTAATATATTTCTCGAACATATTTTACATGTTTTCTGTTTGCGATAAGACCCATAAATATATGAACTATTAGGGGTCTTGTATCGGATCATAGAAAAAATTTATAGGTTACTCTGTTATTACATATAACTTGTGTTTACAATGAAAACTGAGAAAGAAAATGTTTCTTTTTTATGGTTTATATTATTATAACACAGTTCATGAGTATAAACTCATAAGAATGACCTTCATTTTTATATTTATACAAAAGACATTTTATCCGAGAGACAAGATGTAATATTTTCTAGATGTTATTTATATGTATTCTCAATTAGTTGTTGAAATTGAACGATGAATAAGACGAGTGATCGAAAGTTGAAAAAAAGAATTTCGACTACTCAAAGAGAGATGACCTATTGGAAAAATGCAATCAATTGCTCGATATCAAACCCTTTTGCAATTTAGTTTTGAAGTGATTCATCAGGTTTTATCTGATGATACCATGAGAGTAATGGTTGTTCGATTGATGCTTTCAGATAAATTTATCATCTACAGCAAAAAAACATCATAGAAATATATACACATGCTCAATAAAAAGACAATCATTATGATTTATAAGTTATTGAGCTCTTCAAAAATGTAGAGTTCTCAAAACCACTATTATTTTCAATGATAAGTAGTGAATTTTACTGCAGTATAAGAGACTAGAAAATGAATAAAATTTCCTAAATACCTTTTCTGCATATGCATCGAATAATCTCAGAAATACAAATTATTTGCAAATTTTCGTTAAAAATATTTAGAACTACATATTAAAAGAACTATTTTTACAAGCCACGATATATGACTAAGATTCAAACTTTAATAAATCTCAGCTATATCTAAAATTAATAGTATGTTTTATGCAATATATGTTAATTATGTGATGTCATCTGCACGATATGACTTTCATTAAACGCAATTCCGAATCTATTCTGAATAATATTAATAGCATCTAAAATAAGAGCTAAACTAATGTATAATAAATTTGCTTTGCACTTAATTGTGAAGTATTACGCACGTTATAAACTCGCGTGACACGCTTCTCATAAAAAAATCTGCCGTGATACATTGGTGCTATTTTTTCTTTTTCTTATCAATGGAAATTTTTCTGATGTTCATATTGTTAATGATAGTTAATCACAACTAATCAATAGAGTGGCCAATGTTTCAATTCGAACTGCAATACCATAAGAGAATTATCGATTAAGTAGAACGAAAAATTTAGCGTGAAACTCAGCATATTAATCGAATTTTAAAGTTTTCTTTCATTGTTGTGATAAATAAAAAAACGACGCAATATTCTTTTCTTTTCTTTTTTGAAGTATATTTTCCATTCACTGGCTTTGATTTACTAGTGCGGCGATTATTTTTAGATAAATTATTTAATCTCAGGCTTATTTTTAATCTTGCGTGACAGAAAATCGAACAATGACCTAACATTTGAGATTCAGCAAAAATAAATCGTGATAAAAATGCCAATCAGGCTGATATTCTAACATTGCAGACTATATTCTTGGATACTGTGTATTTCAAAAATTTAAATAATAAGAGAAGAAATCAATTATATGGCATTTTATAATAATCGACGTCGATAAAAATCAATCTTTTAGATCCTTTATATTTAAAATCTGAGAATTTATCTAAGATAAATCTCTGATATTGTTTTTGAATGGTAGCGACGTCTTATTTGAGAAACCTAATGTAAAACAATCATAAAAATTGAGTGAAAATAATTCAAAATATTAAACTTTGTCATATGAAAATGTAATGATACAATTTAGTTGTTATTCATTCATATATTTCATAAACAAATGTACATTTATCGAAAATTACAAGATCATATTTAGTTCATATGATCGATAATTGTAAGTATATATGTTCGAATTTTACGTTTTACAAAAAAGCAGAAATCATTTAGAAAACGAAAAGTTTTTCAAATATAAAAAAGAAAAAATTTTAACGAGTTTGAATACTAACTACTAGAATCTTTGTGAATGTTACTCATTGATGATAAGTCCATAAAGACCATGAAAGTGCCAGATCAAACTCCTTCAAATGCCATTTTCCAATAGGTCACGAGTTCACTGATGGATGAACAAATGTCAATGCTATAAATTCATCGGGTGGTAGCTCTTAGCTCGACATCTTGAAATATTCTTTGATTAGCCACTTGAGTTGCTTTTATTTTCATTATACATGAGTAACTATTCTCAAGAGTAATTCATTAAAGTTCAACTTGTCAAATATAGCTAGCAGATAGATATATAACGATATTCAAAGATAATTAAATTCTTATATAACTTTATATATTTCGACTTGAGCAAGGCATATATTTTCATTTCAAAATATATATGAAAATTATTATATACAATCAAGAATATACCAATGATTGTTTAGAATATAAGAAATGATTTGTAAAAGATTTCTTTTCATAGAAAGTTTACATTGTTCTAATCAATTTGAAGGTTGTTTTTTTTATCTTATATAACTCAGTAATAAATTATCGACTAACCTTGAATTTATGAAACATAAATTTCCTTTCACAAACATTTTTACTCATGTTGATCTATCATTTGAACAAATTAATTTACGTGCTGATTACCTTTTTTTAACATTGTGTATACATGATGACAACATCTGAACTTAAGAAACATGATAAACACTCATTGTGTCAATCATTCTTACGTGCGTGTTTGATGTTGATATAACAGAGAAATGCTTGTCACACCGAGCATGTGTTGTCTATGTTGTCTTCTTTCCCATCAGATCCATTGTACGAAAAAAACATTTTAGAGTAATTATTTACAGAAACTACGATAAAATATATCTACATATTATTAATCAACTTAGAATTTTTCTCATTGATTAGTCATTTACACCTAGAGACATATTCATACATACATTGTTGAAAAAAAAAGCATAGCCTAAAAATATGATTTCTGACTTTGATAAAAAAAAAAAGCAATGTTCATATGGTTTCTGATTCTCTTAAGGCAATATATCTTTTAATCATTTGGAATTATTTACTCATTAAATCAAAAGTTCTTATCAATAGAATATTCAGATACATGACAATGTTCTTTTTTCATAATGAAATATCATAAAAGAACATAATACTGAGTTAGACTCTTATTTAACGACAGCTATTGTCGTCATATTGTCATTTTTATTATCAATAATGTCCTTGACTAGAATAATATTATAAGTATCGCGAAGATGTTAACAATTGGTATTCTTCTCAATTGTCATTTAATAATATCAAATCATTTCTCAATATTATGTTATGTTTGAAATATTAATAATATTTGTTGTATTTCTTTTTTCATTTCGATAGTATTTTTAAATATGTTGATATGATGTAGACAAACATATATCCATGGATATTATTGTTTATGTCTCGTCTTGGTCCAAATAGCTTCAAGCGTAACATGTTCTTTTCTTGTTTGTTCAACCCACTAAAGTCATACGGTTCGTTGATCGATGAGACTACCTACTCAAGAACAAACATTGCTATTGACCTTTTTCCTTTTCGTCTTTTTTTGTTTCAAATTTATAGTAAGATTAGTTAGGAGTGATATGTTTTTTTTCGAATTGATGATATGTCGCGACATAATATTTCGCCTTCTTTTTATACATGACGCGTCATGTCGCCGACATAAAAAAACTTTTCGACTATGTATGTATGCGTGGTGATGATGTATAAAGTAATCAACACCAAGCAAAGTCAACTTGGCCCTGTAGTACGATGAGCACGAATGCACAAGACTACATATATATATATATATATCTACTCGTTCTACTACATGTGAGCACTGTCGGGGTCAACGATCTCTTTTAACTTGCGTCCTTCTTCTCTCTTCATGAGATGAATTGGCAATGTGCGTTTGTGTGTGTGTGTGTGTCTGCACATATCATTTCTTTTTCTTGACATCGTCGGGTCGGCTACTCACTGCCTATTGTTTACATATAACGTACTCTTCTTCATCTTTCTTGTCTTAGAGATGTTAATGACCGGCACAACAGAAACGACGATTAAACATGATCATCTTTTTCATCTACGTCGATTCCTTGAGCAAATACAACTCGAAGAATATTACACATTGATTGTCGAAAAGCTCAAGGTAAGAGATAAAGAAAAAAAAAAAAAAGAGTGCAAAAGAGAAAAAGAGAGACGATTAAAATCAATCATGAGTATTTCTTTACAAATCTTTTTTTGCCAATAAAAAAAAAAAAAAAAAAAAAACTAAATGAAATGTAAAGAAAGTTATGGCACATATTCTTTTTGATACCATGTCCAATTGGATGAAATGTCAAGATCAGAATAAAGATATTCGTGCTGTTCGAAAGGTAACCAATCATTAATAAATTCCACATACATATATATACATCATGCTTTTTATTAGAGTTAGTGCCTAATTCAGTGGGTAATTGTCAAGTTCATTCAAAGACTAATCTAGTCTCTTTCTCTATCTATTATGTGTGTTTTTTTCCCTTGTGCTCAATCAGAAGCTCTACATCTTTCACGATGTTTATAATAAGAATTTACTGATAGAAAGAGATAATTCACTTGCACATGTCCCATTCACATGATGTCGATTATTAATGGATAAAGACTAAATTGCAGACTTCCCCTTTTCATCTGCATTCAATACGCATAAAGCTTTGACCTTGCTAGTCTTGAAAATTGAGCTTTCTTCTCTTTTCTTTTTTCTTTATTTGAGTTTATGCGTGTGTATTCTCATCTCAAATACACATACTCACACACGCACACGAATTTAGACTAACTAAAAAAAAAAAAAAAGACTAGCTGCCGCACACATACATTCACACATGCGTGCATGCTACAGCTGTGTGATGTAACTAGAATTGACCGCAAAATTGCGCAAGCACAATACATGTATACTTATGCTTGAGCGTTTATTAGTATTCTTCATGATGACCAGTCCACTGAAATGCAAACAAGCTCTGTTACTTTTTTGTCTGTCTGTCATTTCTTTTTTTTGCTTGTTAAGTATGATTTGTTATTTTGATTTTTATTCTACAGGTGTATAGTATTGGTGATTTACATTATGCCAACGAATCTGATCTACTTTCATTAGGCATGTCTAAGTCACAATTTCGAAAAATTAAACGACATATGCCGTCATCGTATAATACGACTTTAAGTAATAATAATACAACGTTGACAAGTACATTGGGCAAACTTTTAGTTCGAGTAAGTGTTAGTAGTAAATGTAAATTATACGCATCGGCTAATTGATGTTCAAATGAAATTGAGATGTGTTCACCCACAATCATTTTCCCTCCCTCGTTGCTTTTCTTTCTCGTTCATGTCGTTATCTTGTTCTTGTCTTTTTCCTCTGACCGGCATCGCATTACTTTAGCGACCGTTCAGAGTTCTCTCTCACATAGTAAAGAAAAAAAAATAAGTATTACTCTTCGATTATCTCAACCAACAGAATTAGTAGCGGTCAAAAGCAATGGAAAACAGGTGGTCACTTGCACATTTATACAAAGTTCAACATCATTTTCTCTAATCGACACAGACTAGAATAAACTTTTCTTTGATATATATTTATATATATACATTTATTAGAAACTTACACTTCGTTCCACATCTAATCTAACACGAAGTACATTCGAACTGAACAGTAATTATGATCAGCAGGGTTCTTCAATAACATCATTGAATCAACAAACAACTATGGGTAAATATCAACAACAAAAAAGTATTATTTCACAACAAAATATTCAATTAATTGAACAAATTGGTGAAGGAGAATTTGGCATTGGTAATTTGAATTTTTTATTTAATTGAATAAAATCCTTGTTTTTTTATTTTTGTAAATAAATATCTAGTTTATAAAGCTTTTTGGAGAACGAAACAAAATGAATTAGTAAGACATAAAATAATCATTCTTCGAAAATTAATTAATTTGTTTTTTTTTTTGCTTAAGTTAACTGTTGCTGTTAAACGTTTACATAAACTCGATCAAGACTTTGGTCTTGATGGCATTTTAAAAGAAATATGTGCATTACAAGACATCGAACATCCACATATTGTTCAATTTTTTGGTATTGTCATGCAAACAGATGGTTCATTTATGCTTGTAAGAATTTAAGAAAATAAAATAAAATCGATATTGTTCAAATAAAAGAAAAAAAAACCTATTCTTTTTTTTTTTCATAGGTAACAGAATATGCTCATTGTCGATCTTTATATGAATGTTTATTATCAAACAATGCTAAATATGAATATACAATAGAAATATTACTTGAATTTTTAAGACAAATAACAACAGCAATGAGTTATTTAGAAAAAAAATTTTTAATACATAGAGATCTAGCTAGTAGAAATATTCTTGTTTTTAATAAAACATTGGTAAATTTGTTTCTTTTTTATGTTAAAATTATTAACTATGAAATGTTGTATTACTTTTTTCAAGGTTAAACTTTCTGATTTTGGTCTTTCTCGTCTTTGTTGTTCGGAAACAAATTATTATAAAACTTCATGGAAAGATACATTACGTTTACCAATAGCATGGATGAGTCCCGAAGCAATTAATTTTCTACGTTTTACAACAGCATCTGATATTTTCTCATTTGGTGTTTGTATGTGGGAATGCTTTACTTATGGACAAATGCCATGGCAAGGAATGTCAAGTGCTGAAGTAATTTTCTTTTTTATTTATTTAATTTTTAAGAAAAAAAATATAATAAGTACAGTGAATATATCAGTTAATTCGTTGTTGTTATTGTCTTTCTTTTTTAAAGGGTATCAATCGTTTAGAAGAATTTATTTTTAGTGATGATATATCACGTAGATGACTTTTTCTTTGATATTTAAATGAATTAATCATCAATAAATCTTTTTGTTTTATGATATCATTGAAAAATGTTAAAGAAATATTGTCGATGAGTTTAGTTCTATAAATAATTATCGATAAATTTCTATATCTCAATAATAAATATATCTATATGTGTATCAATTATTTTCTTTTTCTTATTTATTAGATTGTCAATACTATTGATGCACCTAATCATCAACGATTACCACGACCTCCTTATGCAACAACTGAACTTTATCAAATTATGCTTCATTGTTGGAAATATGAACCAAATGAACGTCCAACATTTTCACAATTAGAAAAAACTTTAGGAGAAGTAAAATAAAACAAAAATATCTTTTGACAAAACAAGATAACAATGTTTTTGTTTTAATACTTAGATTGAACTAAAAAAAGTACGTTGGAAAGATAAAAATTCAAAATCAATAAATTTGCCCGATGGATTTCTTTCAATCGAATCTTGCACGCTTGGACCATTGACGATTCTCGATCGATGGTATGTATGTATGTTTGTGTGTGTGTGTGTGTGGTGCATCAAATTTCGATAGCTTAGTATAAACGATAAAAGGAAAGAAGAAGTAGAAGAAGAAGAAGAAAAAAAAATGAGAGAAATGATTGAAAGGCAAAGCAACGGTAGTATGTATATGTGCAGTCGTGCTCGGAATTCATCGTTACATAAACACATTCTTTATTTCTTCTAGTGTGTATGGATGTAAACGGGCCGGGGTCATTTGTTTTATGATGTGATGCACTACCTGTTATACACACTCATTGATTGCTCGATCAATCAATCCTTTTTGCTTTTTTTTTTTTATATCCTTGAATTTCGGCATGTTGATGATGCTAGTGTGTGTGTGTGTGAGAGAGAGAGAGGGGAAGAAATGAGCAAAGATTCAATTTCTTAATTAACAATGAACATATTTTTCTTTTCCATTCGTTCTCTTGGCCTTTTTTTTTGTTATTATTGTTGTTTCGTTTCGTTCATCTTCTCGACAACGGTTTTTTTTCCTTCTTTCTTTCTTCTCTCTTCCATCTGTTATAGTCTTAACGTTCCCATATCATCGTCATCGGTCAATAATTTTCTACAGTGTATATCTGTAGACGGTCAAATTGGTTTCGTTTATAATACTGATGTTGAACCATTACATGTTATATCAATATCTAAACCACCATCGATTACAACATTAACAAAAACGAATAATAATCATAATCATTTAACATCATTAAAAATGAGTAATTTTTTTCATCGAAAAACAGGTTAGTTATTCATGGATTTTTTTTTTTTGCTTTTTAAACTTATATATCTTTTGTTAATAGATGGAAAGAAAAATTTAAGTAAAACAAAAGGTAAACAATTATCAAAAGATATGATTGGTTTACCTCAACCCGATTTTATTCATGCATTTCATATTGGAGTATCAGGTATAGAAAAAGAAAATAATTGAAAAATTAAATTTTTGGTTTATTCTTTATTTATTTTTTCTTCCTAAGGTGAAACATTTGGTGATGTTACTTGTCTTGCTGGTGTTGAGAAAACAGATTTAATTAAAGTACCTATTGAAAAAAGTCCATCGATTACAAATGGTAATTATTGAATTTAACTTAGATATTCAAACTGTTTTTTTTTTGTTTTACATTTTTAAAAGAATTAGAATCAAATTATCAACAACCAAATGTTATTATTGAACAAAAACAAGAAATAATTTCTGTTGAACAACAAACAGTAAAATTTAATTCGATTGTATTTTTTTTTTTCAAATTTAGCTTTTTGTTTTTTTTAGAATGATGAACATACTTCATCTTTACTTGATGAAGTTTTACAAGCATTTACAGAAATCTATTCCGAACCAGAAATAGCATCACATTTATTAGAAGATAATACTTCACTAAAACCACCACCGAAACCTGAAAGAAGTGAACCAACATCGCCAAAATCTCCAACAGTCAATGTAAGTTAAATAAACATACTTAAGAAAAATTAAATCTGAATAACAACGAAAAAAAGAAAGCAACATTTTCAATAGAATCTTGTTTTTTACAGTATATGACATTTCGAAAGACAAAGGATAAAAAAAAAAAAGATAATGTTTGAATACAAGTTGTTAACATTTAAAGATTTATAATTTTAGAAATGTCAGGCATTTATGAGAAAGTTTGTTTGTTTCCTTTTGAGAATAACTTCCACATTTGAGGTACAGAGGTCAAACGGAGTTTTCAATTCGAGTTAATTACATCAGGTCACTTTAGAAAAACATCTTCATTTTACGAATTTATCTATTTTGTGAAGTATTTTTACAAATCAGAGATTATCATCAGCAGAGAATAGAGTCAGTGGGAGCTGAACCCAGTCCGACAGGTTCTAGAGCAGAGCGAAAAAAATTCTTTTTGATATTCTCTGCTACTAACTTGAATGAACTCGTAATCAGAAATTTTCCCTAAACAAAGAACGGAAGCATTTTTTCGTGATTCAACCAAACTGAGGATAATAGGTGATTCGGAATAAATTGTACTGAAACTTGATGAATGTTTTTTTTTTGTACCTTATAAGTGTGAAAGGTTTTCTTAATATGCTGAAAGATATAGAATTGCAAGTTGTACGAAATTGTTGATTTTGTTTCTCAAACAAATTTAACCTTGTCAACGCTAAATTTAAAAGGTTTATGTCTACTCAGTCATTCAACAGCGATTTTTGATTCACTGCTGACGCCTATTGATTTTTGTAAGGCCAACGCTAAAAATGAATACCTTAATACCAATAGAAAGAGAAGGTTGTGTTATATGTGTTCACGACCTTTATAAGGTTCCTAGGGCTTTTGTTTACGATAAAAAGAAAAAGTTGGAACTACCAGCTATCGATATATTTTAAAAAATCATGTTTTTAAAAAGTAAAACTTGCTCTATGAAAGATTTATTATTTTTCTATCCGATGTAGAATTTAATTCTGAACAAAATTATGTAAAGATTAAATTGAACAGTGAAAATATAAACTGTTTCTTCCAAAAATTCTGAAATAACCATCGAATGAGAGAAAACTTGCAAAGATATAACTATACACTAAGTACAAGTACGAAAAAGTTTGTCGAAGTAAATCCGATATTCTTTTCCTTTCTTTTATCGTAATAACGTTTGTACCATATGTTAGAAATTAAATATTCTATTGTATATTGAAGTCTTAATATGTCACATAAAATCTTAGGATCGTTTTTCATTAATTTGTTCGGCTTCTTTAGCTTAAATTATCATCAATATCTTCAAGGACAATCGGCTTAAATCAATCTCCATCGGATAACATGACAGGTAAATAATGATCAATTCAAATAACTAGAAAGAAGAAATCCGAATTATTTTTTTTTTGTTGTTTTAGATTTGAACAGTCGATCTCCATCAAATCCTAATCGTTTATTAAAAAAATCACCAATAAGAAAATCTAATGAAGAAACTGGTCGATTTTCACGTGAACTTGAACAACGTTTACAAAATGGTTTGTTTTTATTTATTTTTTTTTTCTTATCTTTCATATCAATTCAACTAGGTGATATAAGTGAAGAAGCTAAACATGCATATAATTTATTAATTAATGGTTGTACAAATAATTCATCATTATCACATGAAGAACCATTACATTCAACAAGTCATGATGACTTATCATTAAATAATAATGAAACAGATAATAATACAAAACAATCTCCTATACATCCAACAACAATATTATTTGGTTCATCATCATCGTCATCATCAACTAGTATATCAACAAGTTCAACAAGTAATAATACTCAATCAAATACATCATCATCATCATCATCAGGTCAACAAAAATCAGATCGTCATTCACATTATTCATCAACATCAACAGATAATGATATTAGTATTGATCTTAAAACACAAAATGATTTATCTCCATTAAAGTATATATATTTCTTTTTATAATAAAAACAAAAAATTTCTTTTTATTTTCAAGACTTTTAAGAAATGGTATTAATCCTGCAAATCTAACATCAAAAACAATTCGTCAACAAATTTCAACAAATGAAACAAATTCATCAAATCATTCACCTATATCATCAACATCAAATACATTAAGTAATTTATCAATAACATCACCATTATATGATCATCATCATCATTTATTATTACCATTACCTTCACAATCATCATCATCATCAACTAATGATGATAATCGTTCAATATCAAGTTTAAATTCACGTTCATTATCAACAAATAAAAGTGAACAACATTCAATAACAGGACAACCTTTACCACCACCACCGGATCTATCAAGTTTAGGAAGTAAATTAACAACAGCAACGATGACACATACATTAAAATTACCTGTATCATTAACATCATCGACATCAACATCAAATGCGTACCGTTCGAAAAGTATGAATAGTATATTCTTTCGTTAAAATACAATATTGAGTCAACGAGGACATTTGGACGAGACTAGTGAAATTGTCAAAACAGTTTGTCTCTATGAGCCTTTGAAACTGAGTTAGGATTGTTTTACTAAATTATTGATTCAACTTTAAGTCTATACTAAAAAATTACAAAGCAGAATTTCGACATAAAATTTTGCTAATAGATAGATGTAATGATCTAATTTTCAAGTGAATTTGAGATGTTGACAAAAGAACATTCTTTTCAGCTGAAAATTTAAGAATATTTTACGAGTTATTTGATCCATATATGAACAAAATTGCACGTCGAAATTCTACTTTTTACTTTTTTGTTTGTATCTAAAGCCGGGTAGAAAATTCACTAAAACGATGCTAAATCGACTCGAAAAGTCTAGGAATTAACCACTTTAGGCTTTTTCTAGTCCTACCGAGACCTCCTTCTAAGCGTAATATGAGCTCAACTGGTGGGTATCAGTTCATGCGTATTTGTTACTGGAACTTATTTTAAAAAAAGTAGTTGCAAAAAAAAAAATGACACACTTTAGTCTTTAATTTTGATTCGTATTGATGAAAAACTTCTATTGACGTTTTCTACAACCAAAAAAAAAGAAGACTGTTTCCATTCTTTCCCATGAGATTAAGAATTAAAGCTCTAGTTGATATCCTAGAGTCAAACATATCAGCTCTACTTAGCCTTGTCTGTCTTATTATAGATTATAGCCTTCTATACTCTGTCTTCTATCTATCTCGACCTTGTCTATCTATCACTGTCTCTTCACTTATTTTTACATGCTAATATCATACTAATCTTTCCATGAAGTCAAAGAATGTTTTACTATGAATGCAAGAAAACCATGTAAATCCAAGTGAAATGATTTGACAAAGGATTTATTAAGTTAATACCCTAATGAGGAAAGTTGCTCAACTGAGAAATTTACTCGAAACTACTTGTATTATGTAGAAACATATGAGCTATTAATACTTCAAAAACAGTTCAGGCCCTTAATAAATTATTCCTGTCGAAATATTACACTTTTATGTTAAGTTTTAAATGAATATCGTGCTTTTCCTCGATGAAACATGTTTTCGATTGAGTCGTTCTTTCTATTGAAAGATACAGCTATGATAAAAGTACAGTGCAGCTCAATAGAATTTACCCCCTTTGTATTCTTCTTTTTTCTCAACCATAGTTTGGTCTTTTCTTTCGAAGTCACCTACCAAAAGAAAGAGCAGAATCTGCTGCATCTTTTGGTATATGAAACTTATAGATGAGATCGAAAGAGAGCAGAGAAAAACACATCGAGGAAAAAAAGTAGATTTTTTTTCACTACAATGTTGTGCATAACCTTTTGCTAAAGGGAGGTAACAGAGTCAGACTTTTCTAGTTACTCAATCTTATAGAACTTTCTTCGCTGATCATCTTGACTGAATTTATTTCGAGTTTCGCTTACAAAATGACAATGCTCCGATAACAATATTCATGATTTGGAGGTGCTGTGGATGATGGAACCAAGCAGTTTATTAGTATTGCAACCCAGATGCCATAATTATTTTAGAAAAACTCAAAATAAATTCAGCCGAAATGATCAGCGTGGAAGGGTCTACAAGTGTGAGTAACTAGAAAAGTCCGGCCCCTCCATCCTTAAATAATTGCAAAATTGCAGCAAAAATACACGAAGTTCGAGATTTTCTAGGATTTATCACCTCTTTTCCATATTTTAAGTGTAACTAAATGGAAGCATAAATTCTATTTTTCACGAGCTTTCATTTGGTATAAAATTCATCAGGTATCCAACTCGAAAACATAGTGCTGCCTCCCCCTAACAAAAGGTTATGCACAACATTGTAGTGAAAAAAAATCTACTTTTTTTCCTCGATGTGTTTTTCTCTGCTCTCTTTCGATCTCATCTATACGTTTCATATACGAAACTATGCAGCAGATTGTGCTCTTTCTTTTGGTAGGTGACTTCGAAAGAAAAGACCAAGCTATGGTTGAGAAAAAGGAAGAATACAAAGGGGGTAAATTCTATTGAGCTGCACTGTATATTCTTTACATTGTTCACAAAAACCAACAGATTTTATGTTCGTATTTTGAGCACAACAGCAAATCTAAACATTTGAAACTAATTGAAAAATCCATTTTTCTGTGACGGACTACAGCATTCACTCAAAAACTACCGTAAATTTGTAATATCTGCATAGCAATAAGCTAAGGGTTCAATGTCTTTTCAAGACACCATGACATATTTTTCAAAAATATAACTATAAATTAGAGAATAATAAAAATGAGACAACAAATTATATCACATAACAATTAAAAAGAGTGGGATGCAACCTAGAAAAATAGATAATTAAACTAAATAAATATATGATAAATAATGTATGTGCTCAGAATATATTATCCGATATGATTATGCTTAACTGAAATGATCAAATTTCATTTCTCACCTTTCAACATCAAAAATACTTCCTTTTATCTTTCTAAATAGCATTTCCTGTTTAAAAAATGACATATTTTCTTGAACATATACAAAAAAAACAACAACAGCAACATGACAGACACGCAATCTATCTATTTTAAGTCTCTTGTCTCATCTTATGAAAAGTTTAATAATCAAAGCCTACGTCAGATCGATCTAAAACAGCATCTTGTTTTACCCTCTAATGGAAAAAATCAATTTGTATTTTTAGAACGATTCAATTTGTTTACTTCATAAATTTTATTTACTTCAAATGGTATTTTCTATTTCGAATGTTCGATCACCTAGTCAAACGAATTTTCTTTTTCCTTTGTTCTTTTTTGATTGTTCTTCTCACGTTGTTAATTCGATGATCGATCCGTCCTTATTCTCTCGTAAACGAATATTATTTAAATTTGCCTTGACAATGATAATGACTAACACTTTATTTTTTACGTCTTTGCGTGTGCTAAATATTTTTTTTTTCTTTTCTCAATTTCTACTGAAATTAAAACGAACAGTGTGTCATATTCATGCGCTGTTATTGTCTTATACAATTAAATACAAGAAAACGGAAATTAACCGACCATATATATAATTCAAAAAATTATTAAAAAAAAACTCAATATAATATTAACTTGGTTAAATATCTAGTTTTCTTCTTCATTCTTTTTTTTTTTTTGTATTCTTCTTCTTTTTTTTTTCTACACATCTCTTTTTCATGTATGTAAAAGAAAATCGTAACATGATGTATCATTTTTTTTTTCTTCTGTTTTTTGGTTGTGGCTTGATAAAAAGAAAAATACATTCTTATAATTATTATTATTATTATTAATGAAATTAATGCCCAAAAATATAAATCAAATACAATTATATTTTAAAATTATGGGTAATTAAGTAACGAGAAAAAAAACAAAAACAGTGACATTAGCGAAAAAGAGAAAAGCCTGTCAGCTCTAATCAAATAGAAAAATGATAAATGACAGTTTGTCCATATTATTCATCTGTTCTCTTTATATACTTGTGTTTTCTTTACATATCGACAAGCAACAATAAACAACTATTACATATAATGTGTATTGTACGTAGGTGAAATTGCGAGCAAATTAGTTGCATTTTCTTTCATATTTTATAATGGAAATCGTTTGATATAGAAAAGAACTTATGTAATTAATATTTAGTGTATTCAAAAATTTCTTTGAATTCATAGAATTATTAATGCCAGAATGTAATTATGAGTACATCATAGAAAAGAAACCAGAGAAAGTTTAGTCTTAATCAATCTAAGATATAGATAAAAATCATAAGAAATTTCTCGGCATCCTCTGAATCTTAGAACCATTTTGATAATAATTAAATTCATATCGGTTCATTTCTTTTTCGAATTTAAAAATCTAATCACAAATCACTAAACCTTTTCAGATTCATATTAATTAGAAAATTTTCTTCAAAATAAAATCTTATAAATCTATTCAATTTTTTAGCCTGATATTTGTCCCTGTTCGGATTCAATAGATATTTGTCTATGTTGTATTCCACTTAATTTACTTTGTTGTTGTTTACCATGTTGTCAACCTCCTCGGTACAACTTCCTTCTTTTTTTTTTTTTATATATTTAATAAATACATTAATTCTTTTATTTTTCAGTGAGCGAGTTGTCTATGTTCCTGCAACTCAAATGAATCCAATTCAAGATCATCGTTATATTATACGTGAACCTATTGGACGTTAACAATTCCAGTAAAAAATAGCAACTGCTGTTTTATTTTTTTGTATATACTTGTAATCACGGTTTATACAAATATAACAAGCGGATTATAATGTCTTTTTTTTTATTGATAAATAAAGCTCAATATTCGTACCATCATGAATTTCTATGAAGAGACAAAAAAAAAGAAAACGATAAATTATTCAAATAAACGAATATTCTACAAACCATAATCAGCAAGAATGATAGTATCTTTAAAAATATTATCTAAAATTCATCGAAATCCCAAATTATATTATTGTATCATTTTGAATAGTCGAATATAAATATTTCCTGATTTGATGTTATGAGGTTTACATAAAAAAATCTAAGTCTCCGAAACAATAATTAGAAATTCTCAATGGAAATCTAATAAAAAAGAAAAAAGACCAAAAAAACGAAATACTTGTAGCATATTTTTAATACAATTCTTTCGGCTTTTGTATCAGTTTGTACAGCAATTAGGTTTTTAAGATTACTAATCGTATCATTAGAATTACATATAACATGAATTCTTCTATCAAGATTAATCGTTACAAAGAACTTCTATCATTTTTTCTGTTAGCAATAAGATAAAAAATAGTTTCTTTTTCTTTTTTTCTTCTTTTTTTGTATCAAAATCCCGATTGGTAAACTAAGATAAACCAATGAAAAAGATTCAAGTTTTCTATTTTGAAAAAAACAATACCACGTTATTTGAAAACGAAATCAATATTTTACTTTACAAGCTGATTCGTTGGAGAAGATTTAATTTTAATTTTTTTAAACAACTAACGACATTATGTTGCTTGATGATCGTGTGACTCGTGACTGTGCATTCGTGTGTATCCCCAACGGCCATTACGATCTTTCTTTTCCTTCCTGTCTCTGACTGGCCTAGGCATCATCTAGCGTTTGCATTCTCGTTCTTTGCTATTACTGCTTTTCTGTAACTGCCATTTCTTCTTCTTCTTCTTCTTCTCTTCTTCTTCGTCTTTTCTTCGCTCAGTCTGTCTCTCTCTCTCTCTCCACCTGAATCGACATCGGGGGTTTGCTTCTTCGTGTGTCGTCGACCAGAAATAAGCTTTTTCTATATCTGCTGTTACTGCTTCTACTATTGCGACAAACAACGACAAGAATCTTGTTCGTTTTGTCGCGTTTATGCAACGCATGCTACTAACATACGCATGTTGATCTAATATTTTTCCTTTAATCTAGCAATTATGATGACCCAACGACCACCTCCATTTATTTATTTATTTTTATATGATCGATCAAAATCATTTTTTATCGTATTATCTTTATGAAATATAATAGTACCCTATTCAACAAATTTCTCAATACTATTAATAATAATAATTTAAGCAATAGCAACAACAAAAATACTAAGAAAGATAATAATATAACGGTGCCGCCTCCTATAACAGCGTCTATTATCAATATGGCTGCTGTTACAAATAACACACCAATACCAAATTCAGTTGTAACATCCACTCGTTTCACTGATGAATATGATCTTAAAGAAGAACTTGGCAAGTGAGTCCTTATATAGATGCTTTTATTTGTTGTTATTATTTTCCTTTTTTTTTCCCATTTCTCATGTTTGATTGATGACGTAAATAAATGTAAAAAATATTGACTATCTCTCATGAGTCCAGTCCTAAATTGCAGCAGTTATTTTGTCACTCTTGTTGCTACATTGTTGAACCTTCATAGAACGCCGCTACTCGCCTTCCTGATTAATCGCGCTTGTATGTCGCGGATATTATTTTTCTCCCGTTCTCTTCATCATCATCTCCAACATCGTCGTTCTTATTTCTCTCTCTCTCTCTCTCTCTCGCTTTTTCATTCGTATTCTGACCTCATCTTTTACTACTAACTCTAGTAACTGACTATGAGGAAAAAAAGCTTACTGTTATATGTTCTCGTTCAAAACTTAGACTAAACGTATATTGTCATAAATGAGAGAACGACAAGATCAGAAAGGAAAAAGTCATTATCATCAAGACGGCAGTTAGCTTGATAAAACAACTTCAATCAATTGTTTGAATAGTAGACTTTTGTTTTTTTGTTTTTTTTCGTTAACTAACTGTTCATCCATGGAAGAGTGTTAACAAGAATATAAAAAAAAAATGCGTTGGTGTTTTAGCCTATGGCAAGAGAAAAAAGATGCCGAAGAAAAATAAAAGAAAAAACAAAACTCATTCTAAATGAAAGAAAAGCGAGTGGAAAGAAAAAAGAATTCATTAATAATGGATTACAATCAATTACAATTCTATAACGAAAGAATGTATATTAATATTCTTTGTTCTTTTGTCTCTTAAGAGGTGCATTTTCAATTGTAAGACGATGTATACAAAAAAGTTCTGGACAAGAATTTGCTGCAAAAATTATTAATACAAAAAAATTATCCACTCGAGGTAAAAATAATAATAATAAAATTAGATCAATCATAAATATGAGTCTCTTTTTCTCTTATTTTTTATAGATCATCAAAAACTCGAAAGAGAAGCTCGTATTTGTCGACAATTAAAACATCCTAATATTGGTAAGATTTTCTTGTCAACAAAGAAAAAACAATATTTATTCTTCTGTTGATTTAGTTCGTCTTCATGATAGTATTGCTGAAGAAAATTTTCATTATCTAGTTTTCGACCTGTAAGTTTAATTTGATAGAATTTAAATCAAATAAAATTTTTGAACTTTTAGAGTTACCGGTGGTGAATTATTTGAAGATATTGTTGCTCGAGAATTCTATAGTGAAGCAGATGCTAGGTATAAACATCAATGAATCATGCTGTTGTCGTTTCGTTGTATTGATTGTCATATTTATTCTAGTCATTGTATTCAACAAGTACTTGAAGCTGTACGGCATTGCCATGAAAATAATATTGTACATAGAGACTTAAAAGTATATTGTTTTTGTTTTATTAATGATAAATATGTTATTGTTATTGATATTGTTTTTTTTTATTTATTTAGCCGGAAAATCTTTTACTTGCTAGTAAAACAAAAGGTGCAGCTGTCAGTAAGTATTTTTTTTTATAAAAGAAAATTATAGTTTTATTTCAAGATTTTCAAGGTTATTAAGTTTTATTTTCTTCTTTAATAAAGAAAAGAGAAAATCATGCAGGTTATTTCCGTCATAGGAAATGAACGGAACTATTTTCTTTTTCCTTTGATTTGATAGAATATGAAAAGTAATTTGATCTGAAAATTTCCTTACTTTTCTTTTTTCAAGAGCTTGCCGATTTTGGTCTTGCCATTGAAGTCAATGGTGAACAAACACAGTGGTATGGTATGTATTAACAAAAAAAAAATATTTATTAAATAATAAATAATTAAAATTTTTTGTAAATAGGTTTTGCTGGAACTCCTGGTTATCTTAGTCCTGAAGTACTTAAAAAAGAACCCTATGGTAAACCCGTCGATATATGGGCATGTGGTAAGTTATTTCCGATGAAGTTTACTGAAAGATAGATTTCATTTTTTTTTTATATATTAGGTGTTATTTTATATATTCTCCTTGTCGGTTACCCACCATTTTGGGATGAAGATCAACATCGTTTATATAATCAAATAAAGGCTGGCGCCTATGATGTAAGAATTTGCACAAAAAAAAAAGAGGAAATCATCATTTTTATTTTTTGATTATTAATTTAGTATCCATCACCTGAATGGGATACAGTAACAACTGAAGCAAAACGTTTGATTGATTCAATGCTTAATATTAATCCGAGTCGACGTATTAGCGCGACTGATGCTCTTAAACATCCATGGATTTGTGTAAGTTATCTAAAAACTGATGATCATTTGTAATGATTCATTATATTTTCATAAATTATATACATCTATGGTTTATTTACTGGTTTTGTTTGCTTAAATGAACGAGAAATAGTTAGACGATAGAGAGAAAAAATGTTCATGACGGGAGTAGGGTAATCGAAACGACTATTCGACAGCAAAAAGAAACAAAAGCGCCAGAATAGGATGCATTAATGCATCTCATTCTCCCTTTTTACTATGCGAAAGAAAATAAATCAGAGTCATCATTGATAGAAAAAGAGAGAGATAGAAAAAAAAAAGACGAAGACGAAGACGAAGAGTCAAGCATTCTATTCTTGATTTGATTAAAATATACCAGAAAAATAGCCCAAAAACATCAAATAAGCTAAAAAAAAATTCTATATTTATTTTCTAGCAACGAGAACGCGTTGCTGGTACGATTCATCGACAAGAGACTGTTGATTGTTTACGTAAATTCAATGCACGACGAAAATTAAAGGTAATTAATATTATAAAATGTAGCCTACATATGACAGAAGAAAAACGAAAAGAAATATTGTATGTAATCATATTCATTTTTCGAACGTTTTCTGTCTTATCATGTTTTTCGCTGTGCTGTGTTTACTATGTATCATTGTATGCTATTTATATACTTGAAAAAGAAAGAAAATTAAATTTATTTTATAATTTTCTTAAGGGAGCTATTTTATCAACAATGTTTGTCAACCGTACATTAATACCTAGTAAGTAAAATGAAATTAATAAACCTATAATATATTTTGCATGTGAACTCTCGACCTGCCTACCCTTAATTGCTTTAAATATTGTTGTTTAATATGTATGTGCGTGTATGTGTGTGTATTTTTCATCTAATGCGAATTCAATACCCTTATCTAAATACCTCAATAATATCTTATTTTTTCATATCTTCTCATTAGTTCCACAATTTGTTTAGTTTAGTTAAGTTTTTCTTTTCTCGTTAAATATCTTTGTACTTTATTTAGAGGTGGATACGACCTCAAATTGAAAAAAACATACATTTATCTACAAAGAATACATTGTGACATTAATTAAACTAAAATATAGACAGTATTTTTGTTCTTTTCTTGAAAAAAAAAATATTTATCTAAACAAATTAATGAGTTTCTTCTTTTTCTTCGTTCTTTGGTTTTTAATAACTAAGAAAATAATATATAGTCCTTACATGTTTTTTTCGTTCCTGCATGATATACATATCTTGTTGATTTTATTTTATCTCTAGATTTTCTGTTTTTTTCTTGTGCAATGATATGTGTGTGTATGTGTGTGTGTTTGTCTTTTTTCTATTTTCCTGCTCGATCTTAGTTGTTTTTTTTATCCCTATCTACCTTGTCAGTCATTTTGAATATGAATGTGTGTGCATGCGTTCTGTACGAAAAAGAAATAAATGATATGTATTTATATGGACGAAAAAAAAAAAGGAAAGAAAAATAAATACATCACATTGGAAATGACTGGATCAATTTTTAGATGCAGGTATATTTGCAACCGGAACTGGTGGAATACAATCAACAACAAATGGTAAAAAATCATCAACCGGTGTGGGAGCGATTTCACCGGCTACAAGTCCGATTATATCAGCTTCTGCTAGTGGAGGTACGCGCGTGTATATATATATATATTTGAATGTATTTCTTCCTTAACACCTGCTGAATTATGCTATGTACGTAGTTTAAAAAGTAAAAAACACACTGTTACCGAATTTTATTTTTTCGTTTTCTTATGTTATGTAACTTTTTCCAAATTGCTTTAGCGTGCATATCTTTCTTGCTTGGATCAATTTTGAAGAGTAGATTTTTTTGAATTAATTCCTTCGCTTAAATTTTGTTTTTCATTTTTGAATAAATGCTTTTTTGTTGTCTTCTTCAGGTAATCGGTCTCGACCAACAACTCAAAGTGGTAATAGTGCCATTAAAGAATCCGGCGATAGTAATAGTGCAACTATTGATGATGCCAATGATATTGAACGAATTGATCGATTAAGTAAGTAGAAAGAATAAAATATTGTTTATTGTATTCTTTATACGAAATTAAAAAAAATATTGATGCATAGCTGAAAAGAAGACAACATCATCCGTACCTAAAGCAGAAAAACTAAGTAAGCAAAAATAAAATAACATTGAGGTTCTATATTATTCTTGTTACACGCCTATGATCACTTGTTAACTTTATTTTATATTTTAATAACACTGGGATAAAGAATTTTGTTTTTTTTTATTGCTTATCTAATTTTTAAATATTATATGAATATATATTTTAATTATCTTTAGGCTTAGAAATAACTAAAGTAACCGAACAATTATTACAAGCAATTGCAAATAGTGACTATGAAATGTATAAGTAAGTAAAATTAAAAAAATAATCTCTTTCAAACTAAATTAATATATGAACTTTTTTTTTCAGATTACTATGCGATCCAAAAATAACTTGTTTTGAACCTGAAACTATAGGAAATCTTGTTGAAGGTCTTGATTTTCATAAATTTTATTTTGATACAGGTATGTTGAACAAAAAAGACAAATCAAAATGAACTTTAGATTCAAACAAAAACCCCATTCTTCCCTTTGTCTTTTGTGTTTCTTCATGATTCCTCGAATTTTTTTCAGGAAGATTTGCTCGATCCGATACAGGTAAATAAATATGTATATATGTCGTATTGGTTATGAATTAGTTTTTATTACTTAGTTTTATTAGTTTTTTTTTTATTATTTATTGTTTTTTTTTGGATTTGAAAATTTTATAATCTTTTCGTTTCTAGTCTTATCGCCTAAAGCAAGTAAACCAACAATTAATTGTACAATGTTAACACCAGTTGTGCATACATTAGGAGATGAATCAGCTTGTATAGCTTATGTTTTACTTCTTCAATATATTGATCGGTATGAAAGAAAAATATTAAAACTTTTTTCTTTATAGTAAAAATAACATTTGGAATTGATTTCTTTTCTTTGTTTTAGAAATGGTCAACCACAAAGTGTCCGAACAGAAGAAACTCGTGTATGGCATAAAAAAGATACTCGTTGGCAATGTGTTCATTTTCACCGTTCTGGTATGCCAATTGCTGCAGCCATAAAATCTTCATTTTCAACTACATTATTATAAGAAAAAACAACAAAACAAAAGACATAAAAAACAAACCCATTCTAGCTGTTGTTGCTCATTCATTTATCTATCATAGTTTTATGCGAGAGTATGTGATGACACTTTTTTCTTCTGTTGACGAGTTATTATTTCAGTTTTTTTTGTGTACCCTTTTGATTATTTCATTCCTTTCTATGTTGTCTTATTCTTATACCTCATCTTCTTTTGTGCCTATGTGACACTGAATTTTATTGTTTTTTTGTGAAATTTTTTTTTTGAGGGCGTGGAGGATATATTTCAGTCGACTTGAATTTTTTTTTCTCTTTAACAAAAAAGAAATATATATATATATATAAATATAGGAAAAAAAAGATGTTTCATTTGATTTCTTTCTTTTCGGTTAATTGATCAGTACTTGTTTGTTGTTGTTTGCTCGTATCCTTTTCTTTCTCTCGCTCGTTTTGTTTGGCTTATTATTTTTCCTCATTTATTCTTTTGATGGATCGGTGATGATAAAGAGGTTTTTTTGTCAACAAATAAAACAAAAAAGTTATGAATCGGATTTCTTTTAATTGGAATCGAAGTGACATTACTTCCGCTCTTGAGTTCTTGACATTTGACAAAAGATATATGCTATTTAGAGGTATTAGTTCGTACTTAAGAAGGAAATAAATTTACGTTGAAGTAATAGGATGTAAGATGACGACATAAAACTCTTATTTCGGAAACTAAAGATTAGCAGGTTGTGTTATTTTTGTGTCAGATGAATAAAATATGTCATTAAATATAAAAGCTTTTAAAAAGCCAGCTGATGCAGCAATAATGAATGATAAATGATACGAAAAAGATTTTTTGGGGACGGAGAAGGAGAGGTAAAGATATAAATATTGAAAAAAAAAAATAAAGTATGTTTGATATTTAAAAGTGAAGATGAATTCTATATTCATTATTATTAAAATTTTGTTTAAATATTCAACTGCCTTCCATGATTTGTCTTCAAATGTCCAATCAAATTTCTTAGAGCCCAGTATAACTTTTCTTTTTTTTTTTTGTCTTATCTATCTATCTATCGAACAACTATCTATTAACGTTTAAAATTAAAACCATTTTCTTTTCTTTTTTTTCTTTTAGATAGGAATGTTTGCTCAATCTTTGGTGCTTTTTGTGCTTAGCACGTTAACATTAATATTAGCAAATGATGATCCATCATTGCAACGATTTCGTGGTCATATTTTAAAAAGCAATGGAAAATATGAAATAATAACAGCATTAGCTAATTCTTATAAACCACCTGATACAAATTTGAATAATATCTTGGCAACTGGATTTTGGGATCAAACCTATAATATCACTGGTTGGTCTGTATTAGAAATAAAAACATTAGATAATCAAACAAATATTGAACAAGCTTATTCAGCTGGATTACTCGAAGGGCAATTTACGCGAGGTTAAAATTTAATGTTTTTTTTTTCAAAAATAAGTTCGAATAATTATTAATTATCTTTTTTTTCTTTCTTATAGAATTAACTAGTATGCAATGGCAAAATAGCATTGATGATATTTGTGCTAATCAATCAGAATTTTGTTCTTATCTTAAACAATTTTTTCAAATTCAACTTGATTGGATGTATACACAAATTGATAGTTATCCTGATGATGAATATTGGCATCAAGTATTTAAAAAAAAAGAGTCCTATTTTTAAAGACTTTTAATTTATTTAGGTAAATTTACTTCTTGTTCAACTAAATGGTCTCATTGATGGAAATGAAAATAACCCACGTGGGCCCAGAAAAGAACTTGATAATCCACTTGGATTCTTGTAAAGAAATTAATTCTTTCATTTTTTTTCTTACTCTTCTCTGTAAACTGTTTTTTTCTGTATTTCAATAGTTTATTTCAAGTAGTCGAATCTGTTGGTGATCTAGCTGATCGTTTTAATGTATCCAATGTTGAACGACATGATAGTTGTTCAGCTTTAATTAAAGTAAAACAAAAAAGAATAATTCTTTTATTGAAAAAAGTATTTCGTTTAGATCTTACCTGATTATAATGATATATTTGTTTCACATGCTGATTGGAGTAATTATAAAACAATGTTAAAAGTAATTAAACGTTATGTAATGCCATTAAAACGATCATCAGCGGCAGAAAGTCAGATCGACAAAATTTCTATTGATTTTTTTATTATTTTCTTTTTTTTTATTTATTTAGGTCCTCTTATTCCAGGAGCTGATATAATCTTTTCATCTTATCCAGGAACACTTCATTCAGTTGGTTAGTCTTTTTTTCCCTGTATTCATGTAGAAAAAAAAAAGTTTCGTTTCTGTTTTCTATTTAGATGATTTTTATATGACACATCCAGCTCAAATGACAATAATCGAAACAACAATTGTTAATAATAATCGAAATTTATTACATAATATAATTCCAATTTCTGTACCAGAATGGATTCGTGTTGTTATTTCTAATCGTCTAGCTAATTCTGGTCGTGAATGGATTGATAAATTTTTTCTTTATAATGATGGAACATATAATAATCAATGGATGATTACTGATTTTAAACGATTTACACCAAAAAACAAACCACAATCTGAGTAAAATTTAAATAAAAGACAAAACAAAAGAAAACAAAATTTTAAATTGAATTTTTTTTTAGATTTTTAATGGTTGCTGAACAATTAGTAACTGATTTTGAATACCAAGATATGACAGACACATTAGTTAATCAAACATATTGGGCATCATATAATAATGTTTATTTTCCACGTTTTCGAGATTTATCAGGTGAAGAAGCAATAGTTCATGAAAAAGGACCAGAATTATATTCATGGCAAAATTCATCACGAGCAAAAATATTTAGACGTGATCATATAAAAGTTGTTGATCTTGAATCCATGATTCATATGATGAGGTTAATTTAAAATATTTTTCTTTTTGTGATTTAAAAACAAAAAAAAACTTTATTCATTTCAACAAATAGATATAATAATTTTCAAAATGATTCTTTATCAGCATGTAATTGTACTCCACCATACTCATCAGAATTAACAATTGCTGCACGATGTGATCTTAATCCATCTAATGGAACGTACCCAGATCCACCATTAGGACATCGAATTCATGGTGCAACAGATGCTAAAGTAAGAATCAATATTTACGAAGAAAATGTTGTTTTTTTTTTTTTTTGGTTTGCGAAATCAGGTGAAGAATTAAAAGAAAATAATGAAACTAGAAATAATTTAGTTTTGATTACTATTTTCTGACTTGTAAACAAAATTCCTATCTAGTCTAATGTAAAATAGCAAAAGAATTAAATTTATTAGTGAAAAGATTTATCATTCATTCGTTCGATTCATATGTCACTATATATTGCTAATGGATGTCTCGGAAAGTCTACAAATATTTATGTGTTAACATAACAAGTTTATGTTAGTTTGAATTATAGATGTTCATGGCGGCGCTTCCGCTACTACAACAGTATATTGTTAAAACAGATTGTATAATTGCATGAATTTACATCTGGTTTGAGTGTCTACAAATCCGACATTCAGAATCATGGCGAATCTGATGGATTCAATATAATAGTGCTAATTTAGTAAAGTGATGGAAGAAGTTTTCGAAGAACTTCGTGAAAACCATCATGCCAGCGGTAGATTTTCAACCACAATGGACATCTTCGGTTTTTAGGAACAAATATTAATGAAAAACTTAATTATGTTGATATATAAGAGAAACTATTTTTATTGGTTTTTTTGAAATTTTATTCATTTCAAGAAATCTTTTGAATATTCTGGTTACTTAGAACTCAATTGTAATTATAAGAAATACATTTAAAATCATTTTGTTTTTCAATAGAACTATTTTATGAACTATCTATTTTGTTTTCTTTTCTTCAAAGATTACTAACTATGCAATGATGCAAAACTTTTCGCTTGTTGCTATTGCTGGTCCAACATCAGATAATCAACCACCATTTGTTTGGAGTGAATCAGATTTCAATACAAATGTATCACATATTGGCCATCCAGATAAATGGAATTTTACATCATTTACACCAACATGGGTGTTTTCGTGAAATACTTTGTTGTGCTACAGACAATTGACTTTTTTTCTTTCAAAAATCAAGCATTCAAGAATGTGAATTTATTTTCTATTTGTAAGCCATTTTTTTATTAAAAGCACAAAAAAAATAAAATAAAGAAGGATAAAGTATTTAATTTGTTTGTTATCTGAAAGAAAAAGTTAACGAAGTGTTTGTTTTTCTTGATATGAATCTTATTGATATAGAGTAATGATGAGTTTTCGAGATAAGTACAGAAAGGAAAGAAAAAGAGTTACAAAATGACTTGTAAAATGGCATACAGTACTCTTCAATGTGTATAAAATATTCATTTTCTTAGTTCGTCATTGACAACATAAATAAAACTATAGTTGATATTGTAGTGATAGAATTAGTGTTCTTTCTTTTCTATAGGATTGATTCTAAAAGTCTAACAAATGTCTTTCTCATAAAATTTTCCTTTAATCATTGAAATCTCTACAAATAAGTTTATCAAATCCAAATGATAAATAGCATAACGATTTCATCAGTAACAATTATGTTTTTTCTCAGATAATTATGCAATCCAAGACATAAATTCGAAGCAATATACATTCTAGAGTACACAACTAGGACGAGTATTTGTGATTAAATTCAAGTATGTCTATTATCGTTCTTATGCGATTTGTAATAAGTTCATACTCAATAGGCTCATTTTATTCATCGCATCGAGGGTTAAGAAGCGTTTTACGCACATCATTCTAATATGAACATCATTCAATAGAACGATTATATTTAAACATAGAAAGTACTTGTACTTGTCATTTGAAGAAGACTTGTTTTAGTTTATCTGCTGCATGTCAGTAGATTGGAAAATTTAGCATATATCATTTCATATAGTGGAAGTCGACGAACTCAATGACTCTATTGAGTTGATATTTCATACAAGTTGTGTAAATGTCTTATTGACAATGCACATCAAATACAATACACGTACTTCTTCTAGATTATTCATGACTTTTCCGTTTGAATATTGAACAGTTGTGATGTCACTTTTACGATTACTAGACGTTTGTCATATGTTGATGATAAAACCTATTAATAACTTTTTCGAAAGAAATTCATTGAAGGTCTCTTAAAATATAACAAGAGAAAAAATGAATTTATTTCTCCTGACTATTCCCCGTGTTAGAATACGCAAATTTTCTTCAGTAAATATGCTTATTAACCCTTTCAGGCCCATGGCTCAGCCAATGGATGAAATTTCTTGGAGACTTAATATTTAATATAGGCAGTGTGTATTGTCGATATTTTCATCAAAAATTTTTAAAAACCTTTAAAGTTATTTTCGACCCATTCTCGTATCCCCCTACGGCGATGGTGAAGAAGTATTTTGGTCATCCCCATGTGAGGTACAGACGTAGATCGAAATTTGATTGAGATCTGACGCAAAATTAACTTTTCGAATACCAGTAGGGGACACTCCTAACTTGANTCGTAGACCGCTGATTTCTTGACTTCTACATTTCAGTGAAAGGTGGTTGTTACATCATTTGAAAGAGGACACTTCAAAGATTATGCGTATGTAAAAATATTTTCAATCGAGTTTAAAATAGCCGTGCACCGAGCCAAACAAGATAAGATAAATTTTTAGTGTCGTTATTAGGGACATCGACTCTACTCAATATGGGATGAATTTGTTCGTCAAATACATTGGGACAAAGTTAAAACAAAATCAATTAGTGACGAAACCAGGATTTTGGGTTGGAGATACTCATTCTGTATAGGGACCTATGAGTTCTCTTGACGAATAAAAAAAATGTGTCAAAAATCTTTCTGGGGGCTCAACCACTCACTGACTCTGCCACTAAAACCAATATTAATTCAAAAACTAAAACGTGCTGTATAAAGATTAGAGAAAAAGTTGTCTTAGGAACTTGTACCAGTTGCACTAATCGCTTGACAAAAAATAATGACAATTATTTACATTAAATAAAATACATATTTTTTGTAGAGAATTGAACGACAAATCTTTCTCGAGAAAAAATTTGGTCTCTAGTATGAAAGCTGAAAAATTTATCGAGAGCATACTAAGTGTGCCATTAATTCCGAGTCACCAGTTATAATAATCTTGTTTTATAAGATGGTATTATACTGTTGATGTATATATACTCATTGTACAAACTGTAATTTGTGCAATTAAAGGATGATTATAGTCGCATAGGTTATATTTACCATACTTTATTTTCATGAGTGGTCATTATTTGAAGGCAAGGAACAAGTAAACAATTATTAACACTACTTTATACTTTATTTTATTGATTTCAAGTAATTTCTTAATCATTTCTAAGAAATGAATAGCTATGAGTTCCAATTGTAATGGAAGAAGAATGACAGCATGTTATTTTATCAATACGTGATTAGAAATATTACCTTATAGGAATTGTTGTTTGAATGAATTGGTTAATACTTTAAACTAGAAAATTCCAATTTGCTAGTGTTAGTCACAAGTTGCAACGCAATCGTAGAGACTCAGGTAACGAGATTATGTATTAATAGAGTAAACGCACACTTACTTCCTTTGTTAGTTAGTGCTTTCACCCTCACTCATCCTCAGCCTCAATTTCAGTTCGTTACTTTTTCACCTTAATGTCAACGTTTGCGTCGCTATGTGAGGCTATTAATGACCATGGCAGACATCTTAGTAACGGTCCTTCTATCAAGATTTTGACAAATAGATTCATGACATTGAAGTCTACTGCCAGATCAGTGTAAAAACACGAATGAATTTTAGTTTAGATTCATGGCATTTGTTTTCTTTCACATTTATTATCACTTACTATGAGTAAAATCTTGCATTCTTGAAATGCATTTGCAATAGAGAATAATTTACAAATCAAAATTTATATTGGTAATTTCCTTCACTTACAATGTAAGTAGCTTCGTCATGTTTCACATATTAATCTGGTGAAAAGTGTTAATAACTCTTGAACGAATATATATATTGCAAAAGATAGCATGTGAAATAAAGCTGAAGTTCACGGAAGTTTTATTCGCAATTACAAATAACATTCACTTTCTTATCGATGCTAGTTTTTTTCCGAAAATTTGTTCGACGAGGTAGTTTTCCGTTCAATGGCTCTTGTTTAAATACCGTAATGGGTTTGGATGGTGAAGATGTTTTCAAAGGTCCTTCCTTTTTATCAATAATTCGGTCTATATTGTTGTAAGTATTTGTCGTAGTTGAATGATCTTGCGAAACAGTTTTTTCTCTAGCTTGAACTAGTTGTTCATAAAACGAAAGTGCCATTGAATGTTCACCCATGATTTCATATAGTTGACTGAGATTTCCGTAACAAGCAATTAAATCGAGATGATTCGATGGTAAAATTTGTTGACGAATTTCAAGTGCTTTTTTGTAAAATGAGAGAGCTCTCGAATATTCTTGTATCTTTTGATAAACTAAACCAATATTGTTATATGAATTTGCAAGATTTGGATGGTTTGTTGGAAGAGTTTTTTGATAGATTTCAAGTGCTTTTTTATGAGAAGAAAGTGCTTCCAAATATTCTCCTAAATTGTCATATACTAATCCGATATTATTATAAGAAGTAGCCAAATCGGGATGATTGGGAGGAAGAATTTTTTGTTCCATTTCAAGTGTTGTGTTATAATACGTAAGAGCAGTCTTGTATTCACCTATATTGTCATATACTGAACCAATATTGTTATATGAGATTGCTAATATAGGATGTCTTGATGGAAATGTTTTTTGACAGATTTCAAGAGCTTTTTGATGTGAAGAAAGTGCTTTTGAATATTGTCCTGTACAGTTATATACCATTCCAATATTACTGTAAGAAATGGCCAAAGAAGGATGATTTGGCGTCAGTGATTTTTCTTCAATATCCAATGTCTTCTTATAGAACAAAAGTGCTTTTGAGCATTCACCCATGTTTTTATATACAGATCCAATATTATTGTAACACATAGCGAAATCAGGATGGTTCTGAGGAAGATTTTCTTGATAAATTTCGAGTGTTTTTTCATAAAATGATAGTGCTTTTGCATATTCTCCCATGTTATCATAAAGCAAGCCAATATTGTTATATGAAATGGCCAAAGAAGGATGATTCGATGGTAATGTCTTTTGCTCAATTTCAAGTGCTTTTTCATGAAATGAAAGTGCTTTTGAGTATTCTCCCATATTATTATATAACGAGCCAATGTTTTTGTAGGAAGTAGCTAAAGACGGATGATTTGGAGGAAGAACTTTTTGTTCTATTTCAAGTGCCTTCTCGTGAGATTTGAGGGCTTGATCATAATCGCCCATATTTTTATGTACTAAACCAATGTTGTTATACAATATAGCTAACGAAGGATGATCGTCAGGTAAATTATGTTGGTAGATTTCAAGCGATTTTTCATAATATGAAAGTGCTTCTGCATAGTTGCCCATATTATTATATACTTGACCCATATTATTATATGTGGTAGCTAAATCGAGATCATCTGAAGATCGACTTTTTTGATAAATCTCAAGTGCTTGTTTATAAGATGAAAGTGCTTCTCCATAGTCACCTTGATTACGCTTGATTAATCCAAGTTGATGATAAAGTAATGCTTTTTCGTTTTCATCAGTGTTCAGGCTGAATAATGCTCTATAAACATGTTCGGCCTTTTCAAACTTGCCTAATTTAATTAATAACATACCCAATCGATGCCATCCTGTTGATCCTCGAGTTTCATCTCGAAGTAATTCAGTAAGAGCACTAAGTTGTTTATTTCGACTATTAGTTAATGTGAGTATAACTTGATACAGACGATTAGTTTTTTGAATTTGTTTAATTTCACCAATACGAAAAACAGTATGCATTGAAAAGAGAACTTCTTCTTCACTTTTAAAATAGCTATCATCATCGATAAATGCATAAGGAGTTGCTAACTCCGATGGATCAATAACCATTTTGAAGAGAACACCCACTGATTCAAGATTATTTAAAGCATCTTGTGAGAATTCTAAAGATACTTCTCGA